CTGAACTTAATGGTGCTGCCTGCTGTAATGCTTTTAAAGCTTTATGGACAAAATATTTTTTTTAAAAATACTGAAGACAGACATAATCTTTGTTATATAGTTCAAATATATGGGCTGTTAAATTGAAAAAAAAAATACGGATTTTGTGCTAGTTAGAGTCTATCTGCATAATAGTTGCCTAAAATATATGTATTCATTTAGTTGTGAACAATGTAATGTCTGTGAAACACGATTCTTAAAATAAACGCAGTATTCAATGGATGTAGCACCAGTCAGGCCTGTACAGGATATTACTCTACCCTCCTCCACCCACTTCTTTAAATAATGTAATTAAAAAACTGTGAAAGTAAAAAATTCATATCGAGACTCTTGAAGTAAATGAACAGTAACACAGAATGTCTGTGCTGAGAATTAATCATGACTGGGGCACAAAACATGCTACAAAACTTGTTCATGTTTTTTATGCTAACAGCTTGAAAACTGCATGGTTTTAAGGTACTAGGTTGGTTTAGGCATTTGGCCAGCTTAACAAATGTCTCCATCTTACTAAAAGGTATTAGCTGACTTCTGGTTTCTAATACAGTGTATTGTTTAGGTACTGCCAGTGTGAAAATTGGAACATACACAGTTAAACTACCTGTGAGTCTATGGTGGGCCTGGTTTGCCTTACAACATTATTAATTCAGTGGATTCTGTGTTAGACCCAGCGTTATTGTTATCTGATAGTCTGAATACTGTCTGGATGACAGCCAGCGAAAAAAATGCTGCAGCTGACTTTGATCCAGAACAGGAAAGCTTCCATCGGACTGCTTTGTTGAGCAAAGTGGGAGACGTCCTCAGCACAGCCAGCTTAACACCATATGTCTCCTATGTCAGTGCCTTTAGGACTGGTGGCAATCTGCTGTTCATACTGCACTGTATTGGTGAAGACTTGGTGATTGGTAATCACATCGATTCCAAAAAGTGAGGGAATAGTCTCACCATTTAAACCATGTTTATAAAATCATAGAATTGTTTAGATTGGAAAGGATCTTTAAGATCAAGTCCAGCTGTTAAACCTAGCACTGCCAAGTCCACCACTAAACCATGTCCCTAAGCACCATATCTATACATCTTTTAAATACCTCCAAGGACGGTGACTCAACCCCTTTCATGAGCAGCTTGTTCCAATGCTTGACAACACTTTGGTGGAGACACTTTTCCTTATACCCAATCTAGACCTCCCCTGGTGCAACTGGAGGCCGTTTCCTCATCATATTGCCTGTTACTTGGGAAAGGAGACTGACCCCCACCTTGCTACAATCTGCTTTCATGTAGTTGTAGAGTGTGATATAGTCTCCCCTCAGTCTCCTTTCCTCCAGGCTAAACAACCCCATTTCCCTCAGCTGCTCATTGTAAGATTCATCTTGTGCTTGAGACCCTTTACCAGCTTTGTTGCCCTTCTCTGGACATGCTTGGGCACCTCAGTGTCTTTCCTGTAGTGAGGGGCCCAAAACTGAACACAGTATTTGAGGTAGGGTCTCACCGGTGCTGAATACAGGGGGACGATCACTTCCCTTCTGCTGACCACACCATTTCTGATACAGGCCGGGATGCTATTGGTCTTCTTGGCCACCTGGGCACATATCATAACTGTAATTTCAAATGTATGTCATAATTCCTCTATGTTGATTTTCTTTGTCAAAACTAAATTTTTTTCACGCTTCTCTGGTTTCCTCTTTCTCTCATACAACTTTTAACCCAAGTGAAATTTGAAGCAGCAGTTTTGTGATGTTGATCTGTCAGGAAAAAATAATTTCAGTGTGCTTTTGAGCTGGTTTGTGACCTTTGAGAAAAGGTTAATGTTTGTATCATTTTTTCCCCAAAACGCTGTTTGAATGAGCCTGTAGGAGAGCATGTTAGTAGGTGTATTGGTGTATTGAGTCTGTATGTAGCCAGGGGTCACAGGTTGATGACCTTCTTACCTGTTTTGAGGAATATGCCTATTCAATAGCTCTTTTGTCCAAACCAAGTAAGGTGATACTCTTTGGTTTACAAATCAGTTTTCATGCTTTGTTACATCCTTTCTGGTAACTGTAGTTTAAATGAAATCTCATCACCATTTGCATTCAGGATGGTCTTTATTAGGCACAGCAGGTGGATTCTGTGTACATCCTTGCCTTAGGAAGGAAGAATGGTTGCTTACCTTTGTTAATAGTTGAAGAATATGTATATTCTGTGTTAATAACATGCCCTCACTTGTTTGGGTTTTTTTTATTTATTTTTTGGGGGTTTGGTATTTCTGAAGGAGTTGAGGATTAGATTCAGGATTGGGGTAACTCTAGCAGCAGACCAAATAAAACTGGACGTGGACAAGACCTTGAAATGATGCCCCTTTATGTGAAGGAATGTAATGATAATTCATTACTTTACCCATACTGTGTCCAATGATGGTTGTTCAGTGAAAATCATGTCCAACTAATTGTAAGTAGATACTTTTAGTGTCCTTGGGATGTCTTAGTACTATACTGATGGTTGTAAAATTGAAATGGTCCTTTGTTTCCTGGCACTTTCACTCCAACTTCTGCAATGTTGTGACCGTCTTCCAGAATATCAGAACTATTAAATAGGCCTTAAGAGTGGCCTGCAAAGGGAAAAAAAGTAAAAGCCCTACATTGTATTGCTCTGCTCCTGGAATGAGGTTACCTAAGATGCTACGTTTAATGTTGATAAGTTTTCTTTAATAATTGTCATGTGTTTGTTGCTCTCTGTGATTTGTATCCTATTAGAATAGTAGAGTTTCAGAATGAAGCAACTGTGTACGTTTCTTTAATAAGAAGATACTAATTGTCTGAGCAACTAAAAGGAAATTACCATTACAGTGTGCTGTAGATCATCTGTTGCTAATAGTAGAGACCCTTCTTGCGATTGGTGGTTTGAAAAGAAAGGTTTGGTTTTCCAGCACCTTGACAGAGGGATAATTGCAACTTTGGGACTGCAAGGGGTTTTTCACTGGTTAGTGCCAGGTGGAAGTACATTAAGGCTTGAGTATGGCAATTTTGGTTTTAGGCCCTAGCAACAAGCAACAGGAGCTAAGGAGGAAGGTGGCTTTGTAGACTAGATGTTTAAAACAGTGGGCTGGAATACTGCATGAGATCTGTAAGGACTTAGGACTCAAACCCAAGAGCATCTTGGGATGACTTCTATCCCTATAACTGCAGGTTAGATTATGTGTGTTTAACCCTGAAAGTTCATAAAATGTCAGTTTTACAGACTGCAGGCCATGAACCACTACCCAGTACCGTCAGTGAGAACTCAAATGCCACAAAATACTATGTGCTGCTGGAAGGGAGCAGAAGGGTGTAGCAAATGATGTTACAATAGGAACAATTTCCTAGGTGAAATTGTTTAGATAATACAACAAATTGCCTCATACTGCTGAGGAACGTCACATCTATTCTACACCATTTCTGGTGTAGACCTTTCATCTTTGCTAGGCCTTGCTGAGGGAAGGCTCTTCCTGGCTTGTGATCTGAGCACCATTTTGATGCTGAACACCTAAATAAAGCTTCTATCTGCTTTCTGCTGTGCATCCTCTCTGATCCTCACGATCTTCAGAGGAAGCCCAGGTGGGCTTAGGGGATGTTCAGAAACAAACTTTATGTGGTGAAAAAAGAGAGAATTTCTCATACCTGGTCAGGTAACTGGAATACAGCATAGTAATACAAATGCAGTGGAGTCAACTGGGTAGACAGTATGATAATCCGGACTTTTTTTGAGCATCCGGGCATATAAATGAACCAGACACCAAAGGACTGTCAACCAAAGTTTCAGTTTGTAATCTGCAGTTCCTCTATTTTATCTTCCACTTATAGTACTTGATGCACTTGTGTGTACTGAGGATAATTCATATAGGCTTGGCATCTGATGTGAATGAAGAGGTAGAAGATACAATGTGTTTATTCTGTAGTGTTTCTAATCTATGTTAAGTTTATTTAAACTTGCACTGTGAATATATACTTTTGAGATGATAATATAAAGGACAAGAGACTTTGACTTTGAAAATTACATAAGGGGGAATTAATTTCAGATAATCTTGTCTTTTCAAATACATCAAGTACTCCACATGACTGTATGAGATTAGTGTTTTTTTTAAACAGTTGAATATTTTTTTTTAGAAATGGTGAAAGATTTCCAGCAGCATGTGAGGTCTGCCCAGGCAGATGCCCAAAATAGATGCAAAACAAGCATATAAATTAAAAACATACATAGTAGCAAATCTGTACAAACAGATCAATTTTCAGCTGCTTAAAAGCTAAAGGAAGGAATCAGCAGGCTTTGATGTTGTGTTTTCTTATATGAATTCAAGGAACATATTTTATTTTAAGTATTTTTTAGTCACTTATACTTGGATAGTTTCATTTTCTTGAAAAAATAAAAATGGAAACTTTCATGTCTGCACTGTCTTAGGCTAAAATCATAAACTGGAAGGCAAAATTACCAGAAGTCATAGAATCATAGAATTGTCTAGGTTGGAAGGGACTAAGATCATCTAGTCCAAACAGCAACCTAACTCTGATAAAACAAACAAACCAAAAAACCCCCGAACAATGACAACAACAAAACAAAAACCCCACAAAACCCCACATCACTAAACCATGTCACTAAAATTAAACCAGATCACTGTTTTGTTTCATATAGATTCTTGTATGTGTCTGGAGCTGCACTGATGTAATGGGACTGTGTGGGTCCAAAGTACGGACAGGCAAAAAAACACAGGCCAAAAAACCTAGAAAGATCAAAATGTGACTTGTCTCCTTTCCTATAACTCTTCCTCTCCACCCCTTCAACCCCCAACACTTGAAAGTCAGAAATGTGTGAAGTAGACTATCTGATTACTATGTTACAGATTCTTGTACTAAGTTGCTTTTTGTTCTATATTTGTGAATGTTTTCTGAATGATTGTAACTTTTAACAGGAATGTTTGAACGTGTTCACTAGAATTGGTGCTTTCTCTACAGCTTCTGGAAAAACATAAGAACACGGAAAGCATGGTAGAGCTGCTTGAACTGTATCAAATGGAAGACGAAGCCTACAGTAGTCTTGCAGAAGCTACCACGGAGCTGTACCAATACTTACTACAGCCATTCCGAGATATGAGGGAACTTGCGATGCTTAGAAGACAGCAGATAAAGGTATGGTAAAGGTAACTGAACTTCTTATTAATGGGGAAATGATACTTTTAAGTTACTATTTACTACTTTTATTATGCAGTATATGCAGTGGTGGTTTCTCCTCTAGAAGCTGGTTGCTCCCCTCAGAGGTGTGCTTTTGGAGAGTGAGAACATGTCTGACATATGTAGCTAACCATTACCTGTTTAACTGACGTATTTGACTGTTTGAATTCATTGCTGAATTTAGTAGGTGAAGGTTACAATTTCGTGATTTCTGAGAATACTGACTAATACGTAAAATGGATACCATACTTACGTCTCTTTCCATGCTATTGTTAATTATTTTAAAAGATTATATGTGGAGTTAATTTTCATTAGTTTCCTGAGATAATCTGATAAACTATGATAAGTCAATAGCTTCTCATCTAATCTTGTGAAACACTTAAATATGGAAGCATATTAGATGTACATAATTTTTAGTAACACTTTACAGTTAAATTTCCTAACCTCACAAGACATAGCCAGCTGAATAATACTACATCTTGTTTAAACTGTTTTATAACGTATATGTTTGATTCATTTTGAAATAATTTTAATTTTAAATACTTAGCCAAAAATAACAAATGTCATCTTTATTGCATCTCAGAAGTACTTTTGATAAAATCATTAGTTCCTATGCAGATTATTTAGACTGTAGCCTTGTGATTCTTCTGAAATATGTGTTGTAACATAGAAGCTAAAATGGGTTTGTTTCATTTAATCTGTATTGCAAATGTCAATTTGTCTCAGTTTGGAACCTTGTTCATTTAGCTAACAATGTTTTTAGTGGTTTCAACTTAAAACTACAGTGGTTTTTTTCTGGTTTTGACCATAGAAAGAGAGGCAGGCAAGAAGATTTACAATTCCAAGACCAGTTTCATTTTTAGCTAGTGCTGTGTCCATAAAGTAATTTTTCAGAAAGTTCAGCAATATGAAAGTAACTCACTGGGATAATGTGATGATATTTGAACTAAAAGTGCCTTTTTCTCCCTGAATGATAAATGTTACTGCATAGAGAATTGGGATGAATATTTTTTTTCAGGTGTATTAATGGCTGAAGAATGTGAACACTAAATTTAATAACAAGCCTTCTTCAAAGCACAATGAAATAGTTCCCATTTTATTTGAATTTGTAGGAGAGGAAAAGATGATTTTTTTTGTTCTTTTGTCAAACAAGAAAAGATCAACCATATTCCCTACTCAATATAATACTTAAAGAGTTGTGTGTAGGGTTGGGTTGTTGTTTTTTTTTTAACCTCAATGATCTCTTGAATTATGGCTTTAAAATACCTCACTCTTTATTTTGCCTGAAAGAACAACCTTGGTAAACTTCAGAGGCATGTTCTGTGGTTGATTATTTCAGTTGTACGTAGTTGCATCAAATGTACATTAAGTTCTCTTCCTAACTTGGCAATTTTTGAGTTATAAAACTTGGTCATCTGTATTATGTGGTAGAGAAAGATGCCATCTCTTGTTTTTCATTTCCTTGTTTGAGAGAAAGCAGTACTTGTATCTATGATGACAAAATATATATTACGCTGGGTAGCTAGGGTGGAAGAATTGCTTTATAAATAGAACCTGTGTATGAAATGGTTTGTGTTAACTTGCTGCATATGTTTTTCTGGCAGGCTTAATATTGGAACAAAGATCCTTAGGTTTCTATAAACCCTTACGGCTGGGGTTAGCTCCATTTTCATGCATAGTGGAGGTATTTCTGGTGCTTACTATCTCAGCGAAATGGGAGATGTGAACATATAATACTGTTTACGTATAAAGGATGACAAGGAGAAAGATAATTTTTAGATGTAGAGCAGGGTAAGGAAGGAAAAACCTGCAGAATGTGTTACCAAAGTGAAAAAATAAGTTATAAGGATAATTAAGCTTGAATACAAATACAAGTATTTAGTCAAGATTGCATATGCCTTCTCTGAGTACTTTATTTAACATTTTTAAACATTTTCTCTATTAGGTATCTTTTTTATTTGTTGGGAAGTTGTTTTAGTTTGCTTTTTTTAACAATGTAGGTATTTCAAGAAATATTTTAATGAGTTTCATTTTGTCAGTTTTCAAAATTAATTAGGAGGAAGTTAATTGTGTTGCCTTTAATCTTTGAGAATAGTGTTTTAATGTCTTTTCCTTTTTGGAGCAAAACATAAAAAATGGAAGATATATTATCTGGATCTTAAATTTCTGCTGTTAGCGTGAAACTTTTAGCAAGAGAAAAAGCCTAGAGGAGGGAAGAGAGAAACAAACATAAAATTCTGGCTGCTCAGTGCAGCTCATTAGAGTTGGATAGCTATATTCTCTGCAGATTGTGTCTTTGGGAAAAAAACAACCACAAGACAACCCGGAACAAAAGTTTGTAGCAAAGTTAAAATACTTAGCAGCTTGAAAATGCAGGTTAGTGTTATCTATGGTAGAAGTGGTTTTTTGTTTGTTTGTTTGTTTTATATTTTAACTAGATGTTATGGTAGTTTTTTAGGTATATTTTGCCTCATTTAATGTGGAAGATGGATCATTTAGCATGGTTGAGGAATCGAAGCGGTATTGTGAAACAGTTAAATATTGCTGGATTTGGAAAACATAATGAAAAAAGTAGAAGATTGTGGAAGGAGAAAACGATGGCTTTTGATATGAAATGTCACTCTGGAAAACTGACTTCTTCCAAAATTTCTATTTAATGATGAACTAGTCATTAGACCTTAGAACAATCCTTTCAGTAGTGATATGTTTCTCATTTTTGGGGCTTCCAGCTTGAAAACCCTAGTTTTGTTCGTAGAAATGCTCAGTATTTTTTTAAGTGCTTCCCAAATCCATGGGGACCTCTCTGTAAGCATGGCAAAATGCTTACCAGATACCATGTGTTCTTGAAAAAACTGGACACTGCAAGCACAGCAGGGTTTACTTTTTTTTTTATAGGTATGATATCAGAATAATCATGTTTGACCCAAGGCCTTTATGGCGGATGCACAATTAAAAGCCACTTTGTGATGATTGGTATTATCAAGTGGAGAAATGCTCCTCAGAGAAGCAAGCCTGTACTCATTTATAGACTAAAATGTAAAATATGCTTACTAGACATGGTCTGTGTTGTGTACCTCATGTATTTTGCAAATTTACTGTGAAAAGTTCTGTTGATAAGCCAAACAGAACTATAATTACGTTCACTGAATGCTGGAGAAAGTATAATAAAGAAATTGAAGTCACTATTATAATTCATATACACATAAAAACTATGCTGAGTCTGCATGGCCATTTTTTAATTCCATTATTTCTGTGCTGTTTCTGGTTTGGATGTAAAGACATTCAAATGGCGAGTTTTAGCATGTTGTTTTAATTGTTTGGGCTATCAATCCATTTCTTACCTCTTAGATATAACATAGGCATCAGTTAAGTGAAGCTTGTTATTCAAATGCTGTATTATATGTTTTGGGCTATCTGTATATTTTCTCAAAAATCTAGAAGAGAAGTATGAACTTAAAACCACAGGAAAACAATATTTATGGATATTTTTTCTAGCATTAATTTCAAATTCTAAATGGATTTTAAGATTTTCTTTTTGCTAGAAGTCAGACTTCTGCTGAAATAAAAACCAACCTGCAATACTTTTGATCCTAGAACTGTTTCACATTAATACCTGCAAATTTTTCATTAATCAAATGGGTGGTTATTTATTGCTAAAGCAAAGGTTTCTTGGGTTTTCTTTACCTTGCTGTATGAACACCCTCAGTGAATGATGGGATGGACGACATACTTGGAATTGCAGTTAATGAAAAGGTGCTTCCCTGTTTTGTTACTTGTAAATGCTTGCTGTAGGGAACAAAGACACAATTGTATTATGCTGTCATAGATCTCTTTGCCTGTTTGCATAATGTTTTGGCAGGCAAAACTTTATGAAGAAATGCTACTTCGAGGATTCTTACTGTATTAGAAATGGTGGCTAAAAGAAATGTTACTCACGTTATGCAGTGATCTCATGTCAGAATCACAGAATCTCGGTGGTTGGAAGGGACCTCTGAGATCATCTAGTCCAACCACACAGCAAAAAAAACCCAAAAAACCAAACCAAAACAAAAAAAAACACCACCACACAACACCCACCAACCAAGCCCTATACCAACAGCACCACACAACACCCCACCACACCCCAATAATCTCGGGCACTAGAGCATGCCCTGAAGAGCCATGTCTACCCGTTTCTTAAATACCTCCAGGGATGGCGACTCCACCACCTCCCTGGGCAGGCTCTTCCAGTGCCTGACCACTCTCTCAGTAAAGTAATTCTTCCTAATATCTAATCTAAACCTCCCCTGCCACAACTTCAGACCATTTCCTCTGGTCTGGTCATTATTCCCCTGGGAGAAGAGGCCAGCACCCACCTCTCTGCAACCTCCTTTCAGGTAGTTGTAGAGGGCAATGAGGTCTCCCCTCAGCCTCCTCTTCTCCAAACTAAACATGCCTAGTTCCCTCAGCCTTTCCTCATAGGACTTGTTCTCCAAGCCCCTCACCAGCTTGGTGGCTCTCCTCTGGACCCGCTCCAGCAGCTCAATGTCCTTCCTGTAGTGAGGGGCCCAGAACTGAACACAGTACTCGAGGTGAGGCCTCACCAGTGCCGAGTACAGATGCACAATGACTTCCCTACTCCTGCTGGCCACGCTATTCCTGATACAGGCCAGGACGCTGTTGGCCTTCTTGGCCACCTGGGCACACTGCTGGCTCATGTTAAGCCATCTGTCCACTAACACCCCCAGGTCCTTTTATGCTGGGCACCTCTCCAGCCGCTCTTCCCCAAGCCTGTAGCGCTGCCCGGGGTTGTTGTGACCGAAATGCAGGACCTGGCATTTAGCCTTATTAAACCTCATCCCATTGGCCCTGGCCCATTGATCCAACCTGTCTAGATCCCTCTGTATAGCCTTCCAAACCTCAAGCGGATCAACACTCCCACCTAGTTTGGTGTCATCTGCAGACTTACTGAGTGTGCACTCGATCCCCTCATCCAGATCATCAATAAAGCTATTGAACAAGACAGGCCCCAAAACTGAGCCCTGAGGGACACCACTGGTCACTGGCTGCCGACCAGATTTTGCTTCATTAATCACAACTTGCTGGGCATGGCCATCCAGCCAGTTTTTTATCCATTGGAGAGTACACTTGTCTATGCCATGATTCTCCAGTTTCTCCAGGAGAATGCCGTGGGGGATGGTGTCAAAGGCCTTACAAGTGTCCAGGTAGACAAAGTCCATAGTCTTCCCCTCATCGAGAAAGAGGGTCACATGGTCATAGAAAGCAATCAAGTTGCTCAGGCAGGACCTCCCTTTCATGAATCCATGCTGGGTGGCTCTGATCCCCTGCCTGCTCTGCACTTGCCTTGAGAGCTCACTCAGGATGATCCTCTCCATGATCTTTCCCAGTACTGAGGTCAGGCTGACTGGCCTGTAGTTTCCAGGATCCTCCTTCCGGCCCTTCTTGTAGATTGGCATCACGTTGGCCACCCTCCAGTCATCTGGTACCTCCCCTGTTGACCAGGATTGTTGATAGATAATGGAGAGAGGCTTGGTGAGCTCTCCTGCCAGCTCCCTGAGTACCCTTGGGTGGATCCCATCTGGCCCCATAGACTTATGCATGTCCAGGTGTATAAGCAAATCATTAACTACTTTCTCCTGGATTACAGGGGTCAGTTCCAGTATCAAATTTACTCATGTTTACCAGGGAATAGAAAAGGAAGACTTTTAACTGTATTGGTTTTTTTAATCCTGCTTCTCGAGGGAACTTGCTGTTTCGGAGTTCTTTGTGAAAGGAAAGCATTAATATCACCAGTCATCATTCACTGTTATATACATACAGTTTGACATTTATTTGAAAACTCTTGTCTGTCCACTAACAAGCATTCCCTGTGGGAATCATGGTACATATGTGCTGCATTGAACTACATGTTACAACCTGTCTAGTTAAATTATTATTCACTTATCATTTGCCTAGATTTTTATTTTGCCTGTTTCCTTTTTAGGGGTTTTGGAAATATATAAGGACTAGATTAAACTACTGTGTTAAACTACTTTAAGCAGTTTTCAAGAAATTAACAATTTCTTAGATGGCATCTCTATATTTTTACTTTTATCCCTCTAAGTGGATATGTGGAGGTAGATCCTGAACAGTCACTGAAAAACCTGTCATTTGCAGTTCAACTATAGAGTGGAATGGCTCTTTGAGACCAGATTGAAGCTTTGTGAAATGAGGATTAATATTTGAAGCATTAGAAGTTTGGGGAACAAATAAGATTATGAGCACTTTTTGATTTGGGGGAGTTTGTCTCTACTAGTGAGGTGTCTTCTTGACTGGTGTAAATGAAAAATATTAAAAATTAAGGCTTTGGTGTTGTAGGAGCAGGCTTAAATATTTAATTACTTAGCTATATAGTCTGTTGTCTGTAGTGGGACTACTTAATAACCTTTTAAAAAGTGTGTGAAAATTTCCAATTTTGGGAGAGAAAGCTATATTTTGATTAATTTTTAAAAGAAACTCAAAATCTTTTACTGACTTCAGATAACTGTCACTTCAAAATAAAATTGCCTTGATCTTGGCAATGAAAAGATATTGGAACTCCCAGTCACTAGGAAAATATGTTTTTAAAAGTAATCTGTGATGAAGAAAAACTACTAAAATATTGATGGTTACTTACCACTACCCCCAACACGTTCCCTGTTTCCAGCTTTGTTCTGACTGAAGAGCATTCTTTTACTTCAGAAGGAAACGTTTCAGGCTGGAAGACAGCCTGGATGAAGAATGCTTGTTATCTGAAGGTAGTGGGATATTTAACAAAAACATACTGACAGATCAAATTTAGATTTGATTTTTTTGTGTGCTTCTAGTAAGAATAATAGTGAAACCGTGGATGCACTTTTTCAACAGAAAGGAGCACTTCAAATAAGTTGGTTTTCTTTTTCTGTTGAACAGAAGCCGTGGTGGTTTGCTGGTAGTTTTCTCTCCTTTTTGTTTCTCTTTCTTCCTTAGCCACCCTGAAACCGGCTGCTGTTGGGAAAATAACAATTAATTGTAGCGTTAATTATGGACTGATTTATTTTCAGATCTCGATAGAGAATGACTACCTAGGCCCCAGAAGAATTGAGAGTCTGCAAAAAGAAGATGCCGATTGGCAGAAAAAAGCCCACATGGCTGTGCTTTCTATTCAAGATCTGACAGTGAAATACTTTGAAATCACAGCTAAAACACAGAAAGGTAATTATTTTCTACTGTCCTATCCATCAAATAAAAGATCTTAAAAACTTTATTTAATGTTTACCGTGTTCTGTGTTGTACTGTGATTTATTTATTTTTTTATCAATACTCCATGAGCAAAACGCAGTTGTTGTTCCCATTTGTCTTTTCGTCTGTGTCTATTTGAATCTTTCACCAATAAGCCTTTTCAGAATGTCATTAGAGGTGAGCAGAATAGCAATTTTTGGTAAAAGTTTCAGAAACAAGCACTTTCTCAATGGGACTGTATCATCTGTACTGTGCATTTGCAGAGTCCCTGATGGATTCTGTCATCTGTAGTGGATATGGCAGACCACTGTAGTAGGTGTTTATTACCTTTCAATTAATTTCCTTTTCCTGTCTCCCCTGCCTTTCAGTAACTTTTTTCATAGCTCTAAATATTAAACAACAGCTCCGGTGAAAGCTGCTCTGTTGTTCAGAAATCTTCATGGATTCAGCCTTGCCATTTCTACGCTTGAAGAATGTGGCAGTTTTACTAAAGAGCAGTAAAACCAGGTCATAGGACTTACCATGTACATCTGTGCTCTCATCCTTGTACTGTTTTAAGTTAAATAATCAGGTTATTAGGGCAAACACACCTCAGGATGTGGTTTCATGTCAACTCTTTTAGTTTGACTGTGGGCTACCACTGACAGAGTTTATGGCCCACTGTTTTCCCTGCCTGATAGTGGGTTCCTGTTTCTTTCTTTGCCTTGGCGATGGTGATTGTGCAACCAAATAATGAGCTGTACCTTTGGGAGAAAATCTCTTTTGATGGGTAGGTGTCCTGTCATCTTCCTGCATGACTGCTAGATCTGCCTCAAAGGAAGCAGTCACTGCAAAATGATTCCTTTTGGTGACAACCCAAGTTAAGGGTAACATGAAACTCGACCTTATTTTGAAAAAGTGACTAAACCAGTTCAAGCATGTTGGAATGATTTTAATTAGAGGAAATTGGAAATGTATTTAATTAGTTTGGTTCCTTTTCTAGTATGACAAAAACAGCAAATAAAATGCCCCATTAATTAATAAAGAGCATATTTATACAGTTACTTACTTTCTGGTTTGTTCACGTGCTTTTTTTGTATGTACAGCAGTCAAGATTGTGGGGCAAAACAGTGGGAAATGAAATGCCTGGAGACTGTTTACAACCTAGACTTTGGTGTACAGGTTGCTTGCCTGTTGTGTTATGTTTTGGGCTTTTTTTGGCCTTCTGATGATCACAGAGCGGTCTTATAAACCAAAATACTAACAGGTGGCAGAGGAAAAACATGTGAGAACATAAAGGTATTTTTATTCCCCAACAGCAGCAAGTAATATCTTCTAGAACCCAAGGACTGATCACTGCCCCTTTGATTGTGTGACTCGCGTGGCTTTTGCTTTGCAAAGTTGAGTGTACAGTATCTTGCGATTGTTGTGTATATTAAAAGCTATTAAATCTCATGTATGAGATTTTAATGTCTAGATGTTGTCTAGGGCTCAAGAATAGAAAATCTGAATCAGGCAAGGGACTCGTACTACTCTGAAGTCTTCATGAAAAGATTCTCATTTGTCTCTGCATATTTAGATCAGATTATAATTTGTTTCATTAATTTAAATTAATTTTGTGAAGCAACCTGCATTTTGAGCTAAAAGATGTTATTTAAACTTAATTCACTATTCTTGCAGAATTGCACTTGAGGGCAAGCTTAAATTTTTGGTTTAAATTGTGATTTTTTTTTTTTCACTCTGCAGATGTGTTTAAACTTATGACTGCACTATAGAAGTTATTAAGGGAAAGTGGAGACTTTAGTAGCTGATAACTGGCGCTTTCAGAAGCGGACATGCAATTTAATAGCACATGCTAGCATTAATAAGATATTTTTCTTAAGTCAAAATTCTGAACCAGTGGTTGAAGTGTTCAGTTACTGTATACTCAGAATGGTCCCTCTGTGGATAACAAAAATTGGAATTATAATGATAAAATGATCAACAAACAGCTAATTGCATGTTTGCATGAATCCTGAGAGTGCTTACATCCTGGATTTGAACACTGGTACTCTGTAGAATGACTGCTTCCTGCTAAGAGAACTTTGTATGTTTTTGCATACAAATGTCTGCCTTGTCTCTGCGGCAAAATCACTGGTGATCTGAAGAGTAGACTGGTAAGCTGTCTGCATTTTCTTCCCTTCTGTAGCTGTGTATGACCGAATGCGAGCAGACCAGAAAAAGTTTGGTAAGGCAGCATGGGCGGCAGCAGTGGAACGTATGGAAAAGCTTCAGTATGCAGTTTCTAAGGAGACTTTGCAGTTGATGCGTGCTAAAGAAATCTGTTTGGAGCAGAAGAAGCATGCGCTGAAGGAGGAGGTAATTTTTCATATCAATGCATAGAAAAATGAAACATGCAGAAAACCTCCTAACCTTAAAGTGTGTTGATGTACTTAGGGGGAAAAAACAACAAAACCGACAAAACAAACAAAACAAACAAAAACCTCCACACAGACTTGAAAGTAATTATTTTTCAGCTTTTAATAATGGAAGTCTGTATTCAAACTTATACTACATTCTACTGTGTTAGATGAATGGAGCTGCAATGTAGGTGTGGTGGGTTTTGTACCACTGTTATATTTTCTATTCACTTTTTCCTGCTTAGTCAACCAGGAAGATTAATGTTAATGTTTACAACTGTCCACTGAGATGAACAAAGCAAAGGCAATGGGTATGATGGAAATCTGCTACGATGTAATCTCCATACTTTAACTCTCAGAGGCATGACCACTTTTTTCAGAACAGTTCTGACATTCCAGATGGAGTCTAAACATTAGTAAATAAACAGATGACTAGCCTGTTTTACTGTACTCTCTATCTCTGCTTACCCTATTAGGGCAGCCTTCCAGAGGGGGGGATCGTGCTAGGTACAGCTTTCCTGAGAAGAGTGCCTGTATTAAACTGTGTTTAAATGTCTTGGCAGAAATATCCCACGTTTATTGGGTTTTATAACGCCTCCTTAACAGCAAAAATGCTATAAATCCTCTTTTATGTAAAAGTCCTAAGTATACAAAGTTGGATGTGACAAATGTGAGTGGGAATCCCATATTTGAGACAAGTTGCAGTCTTATAATAAAGCAAATATTTAGTGATTATGTTAGGTAGTGTATTTGGAAGATGTGACAGTGAAAAAAAAAAAACAACAGTAAAAAAATGAAAAGATGATACATTTCCTCCTTGAAGCTTAAGTAGTGAATACCTTCTTGCTGTGCTTGAATGTATGCATTTGCTCTCACTGAGTAAGAAAAGGAGACACATGAGAAATAATATACCTGTTTTTCTGGCTCTTAATTCCCTCTTCTTGAAATCTAAACCAACCTTGCTGATTTGATATTTAAGAGGGTCAATAAAATTGACCTTGTTTGTTTAGTTTTCATTTAATACTAATGAATCAGCTTTTTGTTTCCTAAAATATGTTCACACTGTAAATATCTAAAAACCTACTATTTTCAAAGTTACGATATGAAAATCACCTGGCTAGATGATTAGGTTAGTTATAATTTTTTTTCCTTGACAGCTGAAAACGTTAGGCTACAGCTATCTGTTGTAAAAAAAAAAACAAAAACACAAAAAAACCTCTACACAGATTACATATTGAGCTTTTTTTATTTTACTGATTTGCACATCTTAAGTTCAGCATGTTGTTCTGAATTTGGTTGAGGGGAATGATGAAAACTTTCCTTTTGAGGCAGACCAGAGTCTGCTTTTGCGGATTGGTTGCCAAGTCTTGTCTTCTTAACAGTAAACAGAAACATTAAATCAGAGTGAGAATCCTTTGTAATTCTCGAAGTATGTAAAATAATTTGGACAAATGAAAGTGTGTGACTGGAGAATTAAGTTCCAGCAAGTCCCATCTTGCACATATAGGATTCAGTAACTAGGCTTCTCTTTTTTTCCCTTTTAGAAGCATACAGTTCAGTTCTAAAGATACACATAAAAATAATTTTTAATTTACATGATGAATGTTCTGTCATATTTTCATAAACAAAATCATATTCCAATGAAGTACTGCTTAGCATTTTTTAGGTTTTTTTTAATAGTTTCATAAGTCTAAGAGTACTTTTTTTCTTGTACATTGAGCCTGAATCAACAATATTTTTGCTTCCAGTGACTGAGTATTTAAGTATATCTTGCATTTCACAACTGTCATTTTACTTTTGCTTGAGTTGGATTCATTGGCAAAAATTCTATTCAAGAAAGCATGAATAGATGTTTCTGCAAAATTAATCTTCTTTCTGTAAGAAATAGACAGTGATTTTTGGTACAGATGCAACATAATATTTTTCAGCAAAGTTTACCTTGGTAGCTTTGATTGTATCTTTTTCAAACTTTTTCTTTTTGTGACAGCTTTTTGGAAAGGCTAAAAGAAAAAAGCTAAAATTGGGAAACCTGTGAACTTAAACATATTTGAATTATTACTTTTAATAACAAAATAGGAATGCTTTTGCTTTCTTCACTTTCAGTGTTTAAATTGGCAAACTAAAATTTGTCAGAAAAATGTAAATTTATTTTTTTTCTTTAATCTTACGTTAAATTTTTGTGTAATATTCACCATATTCTCACAGTTCAATGAAAACTTAAAATAGTTTTTATTTCAAATCTTTTTGAAGCGGTCATTGTGTTTATAGAAAATAGAAAGCAGTAAGCTCTAAGCTTTCAGGTGAAGTAATGGGATGCATTCTGTACACAAAACATGGAGTCTAGTTAGGCTTTTAATAATACAGTGAGACATTATTAGAAAATTTCTCATTAACAATGATAACTTCCTTTGGACTTAATAGTTATCAAAATCCCACTTAAGTCTTTTGGAATAACATAATTTGGTGGTTTTGTTGTTTTTTTTTTTCCCTAGAGAATGAATGGGTAGTCTATATTAATAGAGTATTAAAGAGGGCAACTCACAGTATTTGAAGAGACATTTTTTTTGAAGGGTTTTGTGCATCACTGACATTTAGTTCTCATTTCCCAAGAGAAAGAAAAAGATCAGGTATTTATGATCACTTAAAACAAACTCATGGAAGTGTTAGAAAATTGGAACTGAAATACCTTATTTGGCAAACAATTTAGCTACTGTTTTCCAGGCATGGAAGATAAAACAGGATGTTCCTTAAAGAAGACTAAAATGCTGGGGAAACTAATCTATCAGGGTTCAAGTTGAGGACGGAGACAGAAAGAAGAAAAATTCAGAGAAAAGACCAGATCTGACTGTTTGAGGAAACTGTTGATGTTTGGCATGTTGGCTATGGATTTTGAACATTTAGTCTTTGAAAAGAAAAACTTTATAAAACCAGTGATACACCCTTTTCAGGGGGAAAAGGTGCTTCTTCTAGTGTCAGATTTTTTTTCCAATTGCCCAGGATACTAATTGTAAGTGAGCATCTTAAGCTCATTTTTTAAATAATATTGTATCCTGAAGTATACATGGCCTAACTATAATTGACTCCTGATACTTAATTGGTTGGAGAAACACTTTTGTTCTACAAGTTGCTAGGTATGAGTTAGAACCTGCCTTTTATCCGTGGTTGGAGTGCTCCGTGTTTCCCTTATAATCATTTAGAAAATCTTCAAAATTACTTTCTGTTGGTATTGAGTATGAGCTTCCATATTCATGCTTGAAGACCTGGGATTTTTTCTGAATTCTACTCACTTCCTCTGAGATTTCTCAGACAGCAGCAGTGAAGAATTGAAATGAATACTTGAACTAGAGCACAGTCAGGATTCACATGACTTGTTATTCTATTTGAATACTAAGAGATTACTTAAAAGACTGGATAATAGAAAATTCAATAATAGCCATTAATATGTATTACTAAGGACAAGTAATACAAGTTTTTACTGTGGACTGCAGGTTAATTGTGATGTAAATGACAGCAGATGAGAACGACCATAGTCCTATAACCTGGTAGCAACGTGATTGAACCACTGGTGGTAGCAGTTCTGGTCTCCAATCAGGTTATTTCCAACAAAGGCAGAAGTTTTAGTGTAACTGCATATGGACTTCTGATCACCCAAGATTAGTTCTAACTGGAGCAGTTATGGGGAGGTCTACCACAATGATGCCAGGAACGGCAAATCTGTTTTGAGAGGAGGTGAAGTTGTTTTAATGAATAAAACAAGGGCTGAGATGCTAGAAAATTGCTCTCCACAAAAACACTAATGGGAATAAATATTAGTCAGCAATGCATGTTGCTGTTCAGAACTGGTGCAAGAAGAAATGATGTTATCTGATGGTGAATACACTGGAAATAAGAAAGAAGTTTCCTGGCACTTAGGGGGCATCTAGAACAGACTTCCAATGGGAGTAACAAACACAGAGTTTTGTGAAAGCTTTTTTGTTTTGTTTTGTTTTGTTTTTTTACAAAAGCAGAGTAAGAGCAACAATAATAACATGGAAATTATTTTTAAGAACTCAGTTTATGAATGTAGTTCATTTTAGGTTTGTCTAGAAGCATTCCATGGTGGTGGAAAGCTGGACTTGATGGCACTCAATTCCGTGTTTGGATATTTTTCTGTTAATTTTGTCATCTATCCCTTTAGTCCGTGTGTTCATAGTTCTTTGTTAGAGGCTTTCTGGTTTAACTGTTTTATCTTTATTACCAATGTGTATGTTTACAGATGTTACATTTCTGCCTTGGAACTATTAAGAAACCCAAGTTACTGCTTAAGTTCTTAGTTCTCATTCACTTAGTGTGAATGAGACAACAAAGACCATAAGGACCAGAGAGTTTAAATTATTTGCTTGAGTTAATGCAAGAAGCTGTGGCATAGAAGGAAATTGAACTTGGATCTCCTCAGTTCTAGTTCTTTGTCCAACTGCAAGATGTTTCTTTCCTGTAACATTATCATGTTAAAGTTATTTCTGTTTCTTTCACCGTGTTGATCAGTTTGAGACCTACCAAGGGTGCAGCAAATTACTAGTACAGATTAGATGGCAATTTGTAACATTAAGAATTGAACCACTCTTAAATTTCTAACAAAAATGCTGACATTTCCCAAAAGTGATTATATTGTTTTGAATTATCACATATATATAGTATCTCACAAAGTTTTAATGTAAATGGTTGAAATTAAAGGTCCTCATTTTTCTCATTCATGAGGGCCTATTATGTAGGTAGCATTTCTGCCTGAGAACCATATGACAATATTTATTTCCCACTGCTGTTGCACCTGAAAACTGAATGTAGTTGTGTTGTACCCCTAAAAAAGACCAAGTAGCTGGCACCATCTGTAATGTATGCTTCTAGGGTTAAGACTCAGTTGTCGGACAGGTCCTTTATCACCTTTATCAGGCAGACACCACTGCAGCTGAATGAAATACTGAGCTGCTATAACTTGAGTAGCTAATGCTTTTGAAAATGGCCCATTTGTGTCTCTAAGCAGTCTTTATACAGAGTCTGTGGACTTAAATTTGGAAATGTCTTTTTTTTAAAGAAAAAAAAAAAGTATAAGTTTTAGTGAATTTAGAGGTTACAGACACTTTAAGCAAAAGTTTGAGGTTTGAATGACATGGCCTTAATTTGGGGGGAAACTCCCCTAACAAACAAAGAAAAAAACTAAACCAAAAAAACCTTACCACATCTTGTTGCTGTGGTATGTTTTTTTTACAATGAGAAAATTATTTGAAAATGCCAAAATCCAGGATACCTTTCTTGACTAGTGAACATTATACCTCTTCTAGAAAAACTGGAAGGTTCAAGAGAATCAGTCCTTTTATCTTGAAAACTAGCCTCTAATTCACTCCAAATATGCCATCATTATGGCATTTACTGTTCTGGTCGTAATTAATAATTTAATATAGAAGGCAGAGTAATAGAATGCCGTAAGAAGACATTTTGGTGTCACGCTGGACTGAAACATATAAATTATAAGTCATTGATTGTAAGATTTATGATACTCACTTAAGGACTTATTAAGTCTTTCATGCTAATAGTTGAAGTGCAAAAAATGCATTCAGTTAATATAAAATATAGTAGCAGAAATTTTTAAAATAGATGTTGTAAGAATGGATTCACAGGTCTTCTATGTATCAGTCTTACATGGAAAGCAGCATAATATACAGAACTGTTTCCTTAGTGTTTAATTGAGCTGTGAAATACACGACAATTAGTAATAATGCGAGTACTAAAAGCACACATGCTGTAAAAAATCCACTAAGTCTATTTAGTATAAAAGGCAGCATTGGGACTTAAGCTGTGATGCAAGCTGTGCTAGAGGCTGGTGAAATGTTTTAGGGAGGTATCACTGCACTGCCTCCTATGTTTCATCTTCCTGGGCGTTTGGAGTTAACCTCTGCCCGAAATGTTCAGACTGAACCATCTGTTCAGTAAGATAGATCATTGGTTTAATTCAGTTTGGCTATCTTTCTGTTTTAGTATTGCTATGTTTAGACATACCTGTCTTCTCCTCTTGAACTGTTGAATTTTAACATGTTACAGTAGTGTACCAGACTGTATCCAGCTGTAATCCTGAAGTCTGTGGTTTTGTTCTCATTATCCGGGAGTCGTATGTGTCTTTGTTGTTTTTTTCTTCTTTTTTTTTTCCTCTTTCCATTTAGATGCAGAGCCTGAAAGGTGGTACAGAAGCCATAGCCCATTTGGACCAGTTAGAAGCTGATTATTATGATCTACAGCTTCAGTTATATGAAGTGCAGTTTGAGATCTTGAAATGTGAAGAGCTGCTGCTGACTGCACAACTTGAAAGCATCAAAAGACTGATGTCAGGTGCTTTATGCATTTTAATTAAGACGTAATCTGTAAAAGATAATTCTCTTCCTAAGAGCCTAGTAAAGCCTGTGGGAATGAAATGAGAACAGATTCTTTACCATGTGAAGAGCTGGATCTTCTAACATAAGTACTGTTAAATTTTACAGCTGTTCATAAGGCGTATAAGTAGATACGGAAGTTTTGGTCTGGTTCTCATTGCCTGTGTTTGGAAATAAAGATATAAGATACTATGTAAGTTTTGGAAAACTAAATTCAGGGAGGAGGAAATGTCTTAATTACTGGACTTGACTCATTAAAAATTTGCATTGATGTTATTCATGTCTTTGAAGTGATTGGTTTTCAAAAAGTATTCCTGCAAATCAGAGTCCTTCAGCTAAACTTTGAAGCTGCTTATATTGCTTTCTGATATAGAGCAGTGATGAAGACCTTATGTTTCCAGAACCTGCTATACTTTATGTAGTTGCAAACTGTGGAAATGGTACAGATAAATCATACAGCATGTTTGGATTCGGTCCTTTGGACTTTTCTAGTTAATGCTTTTATTCACACAGGCTGTGTTTTATTGTTTAGTGCATAGAGCTTGCTTAGCAAGTTTTATTATGGATAGAAAGGTCACTTGAAAGATTTGAAGCTGGGTTGTGTTGAGAGTTGCCTCTGGAAAAAGAGAAAACATGAGTATCATGGATTCTTCTTGCTGTTGCTTGGATCTCCTCCTTTTAGACTTGGGATAGCAACAACTGTGACTGCATGTATGGAAGATGAGGGTTGAAAACTCTGTAAATGACTTAAAAGTGGCAGCCTTGACCAGGTGGCTCTGTGGAGAGCTAGTTAGTGCTTTAGAGGTAGATGTCTCAAGACATTTAATTTTGGTACTGACAATCAAAAATCAGTATCAAAATACTTACTCTTTGATGTAGTTATGGTGAAACTTAAGGGCCCACAGAGATTAAGCCTGATGTAAAAACAACTTGTCACTAGTGTTTAATAATGTCACTAACGTCACTAATAAAATACAACTTGTCACTAATGTTTTCTCCAGAAATCTCAAAAAAAACAACCCCAAAACCCAAACTTACAACCTGACCCAAAATAAAACAAAAGCCCCAGTCAACTAACCAACCAACCCGCTCCTTACCCAATGGCAGCAAAGTAGTTCACTGTTCTGGCTTCCTTAGCTATTTTAAATTGGTAAAGTATTCTTGATTGCAAAATCCAAGTGGGTGGTTTTTTGTGTTGGCTTTTTTTTTTCCCCTATTAAAGACAGCTGTCTACATTAGAAGCAATTACTGGTTTTTAACAACACACAGTTAATATCCCACAGGACAGAAAATGAAAAATACAGTTCTTAAATGTGTGGGAATTTTGATCAAAGGATGAAATTACCTCTTTGAACGTAATTTAGGTGGAGGGGATAGAACAATTAATGTGAAGAATGTGGCACTGAAGTGGCTACAACTCTCCAAGACTGTTCAGCACCTAATCTGAATGAAGGCATCTAAAACATCTAGTAGTCTTTTAATGTGTTGTTTCCTATGCTGTCAGAGAGAAAAGAATGATCTGTTGCATCTTCTGTTATGCTTCCCTTTTAAACTGTACTTATAGTCAGTAAAGTAATAGCCTTTTAATTGTGCACATCTGTATTATTTGAAATACATGTGTCTTAGTGACATGTAAAGACTGTTTTGATTTGAGGGGCATCAGCAGTACTGCTAAGGAAGTCTCAACAGCATTTTTTGAGAGTGTGTTTTGATTTGACTGCCAACTGATTGTAAGATACAAGAAGAAACATTTTCTTTTGCAAATTTAGCACATTGGATCTGAAGACTATGAAATGATAATACATTGTCATATTATAAACAACAGCAGTAGTTTTTTACTGTCAGTAACCAAACACCTGCACTGAAATTCACAAAATGTTAATTTATTAGGTTACAATTTTAAAGGGTCTTCTCTTAACCATACAAACTATTTGTACATCCCTGTAAGATGTTTTTGTGGTGGATGCGTTGCTGTCAATAGAGAATGCGATAGTAGGTTCCTGCTTTGGTTGGAGGGTAGGCTGAGTGAGTGCAAATTGTGTGGATTTTATCTGAAAAGGAATAATTCTGAATGTTTTATGGTAAGTGGCTGAGTCGTTAGAATCTTAAGCACTTACCAAATTTATAGGCATTTCAGAAGCTCAAAAGCTTTTTGTAGAAAAGTCTTGGAGTGTTTGATGGAGGTTGCAGTAGAGCTGCCGAGTTTTGGTTTTTTTCCAAACAGTAAAACGTAATTTAACATTGTGTTTTAGAGCTGGTAGATTTGACTGCTTTGCAGCTGAGCTTTTGGGGTTTCACTTGTAAACTCCTGTCTTTAATTCTGCATGCAAATATTCTGAAACAAAATTTGCATGTAAATTCTCCCATGGCACGTGAGTGCATAGCCGAATACAATTGCTGTCAGCCATGAGTCTTATTTTTGCTCACTAATGTCTCAAAGTAAGTTCTAGTGACTTTGCAGTTTTATATATGGATGAAACTTTGTGGTTTGGTTTATTTTTTTTTAAACTGAGCACTAAAGTAAAGAATCTAGTACATCTGGTGATTTTGTTTTCATTTTAAGATTAAGTTAGTGCTGCGCTTTCTTTTCTGGCCCTGCCCTGTCTTCTGCTGGGCTGAAATTAGCATGGCAATCAGAATTTTGGTTGCAGAGGAGACTGTACACACATATAACATGAAGTAAAAACAGCTTTTAAAATGCACAATGAAAGAAAAACATGCCCCTTTCCCGAAATAGTCTAGTAGCAGAAGTAGGAGGTCTTGCTGAAAGTTGCTCATGAAGTTCAAATGCGAAGGGTAGTGGTGCAGCAGATAAGATATACTTGACGGTTATGCCAGCTGTATCTGATTATTTCAGCCAGCAGTAATGCAAATTGCTCTTGGTGTATCATAGAAATATCCTGCTTGCTAGGCCTATGAAGTGAGGAACGAGAGGCCTTTGCAACTTCTTCATCCCAGCATTCTGCAAGGATTTATAATCATCGCTCTTTCCTTCTTGGCATGAGATGAGAAGGCAGCATTCAGAGATGAGCTCAATGTTACTCTGAATGCTTCACTCAGGAGGCTAAAAATCATGTGTTGATAAAAGTATTAGTAATGACCTCCTTTTCAGGCCTGCAATGCTTTGAAGGATTGCCTTGATGTTACCCTCCCTCTGCTGCCTCTGAGCAGAAGCAGCATCTGGGAGGTCAAAAACCTCCTAAGAGAGGAATTTTGGTGTTTTGTTGTGTGATTCTTTTTTCATGAAATTAATGGGTGGTTGTGGCAGAAGAATCTCTTTCCAAGGACTTCAGAAAGAGTCTGTATATCCTGAAGTTTGTAGAGGATGTTACTGCATGTTGTGGGTCCCTTGTATTAGTTAGGAGACCCAAAGACATGAGTGGACGTTGTGATGAAATTAGGCTACAGACACAAGTGTACGCTTACAGATGCATTTTTTTTTTAATGTTCTGAATTTATCTGAATACCAGGCTTTGCTTCATTGGTATTGATTTCTGTTCTTCATATCAACTTTAGATCCCTCAGTGCTTTGCTCTTTAGTGCTTTTCCTCTAACCTTTTGATTTTTGATAGTCCTCTGAAAGGACTGTAGCATTCCTTTACATTAAATCTTGTGACTCAGTGTGTGGGCTGTTGTTGAGCAAAAGAAAATGTTGATCAAATACAAACTATTGATTTGACTTTTTCATTGCTGACATTTTTTAAACAGAAAAGAGCGATGAAGTGGTGTATTACGACACTTTCGAAAGTATGGAAGCTATGCTTGAAAAAGAGGATGTGGCAACATCTATACACTTGCAAAAAGAGGAGCTGCAAAAGTTACAACAAAAAATCCGCCAGCTGGAAGCAAGGCGTGGACGTATTTCAGCCAAGAAAGCCTACCTCAGAAATAAGAAGGTATTAACTAAATTGCAAATTTCTGGCATAATTAACAGATGTAATAAAACTTCAAAAGGTTTCATTTCAGATACAACTTCCAAGTCTCCTAGAACTTTTGTGGATTATATTTACTGCTTACTAAAAGTTGTTTTACAGAGTACCAGGTATAATAGCATGTATTATTAAATTGATATATTTAAGATTCAGATTACCTTTTAGCTTTAAAGGAGCCTTTAATTACATTGAAGTCAACAAATAAACTTGTTTCTATTAACTAAACAGAATACTTTCATGTGGAAAGTACATGTTAGAATGCATGTTTTTACAGAGAGTAGTTATATATATTTGTAGGAGAGAATGTTCAGTGCCGTTTTCTCTCTGAATGAGTTCTATTTTCATTCTCTTACCTCATCCTTTTAAACTTATGTCATGTGTCATTGATATTCCGTATTCAGCGAATATATATGAAATTTTGTATATATTCTTAATTAGTAAAACTGGGTGTGATTTTTAGGGCCACTTTCCTTTTTTCATGTGTTACATGACTGGGATGTTGTGCAGAAGATTACTTTAATACAGCTAATGTTGTAAAATTGTGTATTGAGTGTGTGTAAATATGTTCATTCCTTTTTTCCAGAATTGTTCCCTGACAGTTTGTGGTTACATCAATACACATTATTAATGAGCGAGGTAGCTCAGAGAAGAACTGATAGAAGTTTTGAGAGAGCACTGTAATACTTATAAAATAGGTTTGCACTCCATACTATATACTATAAGGCTATGCAGAAGTCTGAGCTGATACTTCATTCTAGATTTGGATCACGTCTTGGAGTGGTTGCATGTTCCCAGTCTTGTCCCTTGATGTGGAAGATGACTCCTTTATATAAAGAGTTCTAGTAGATTGAGGATAAAGCCTCTTCTTCATAACTAATATATCTATTTCTGTACCTGAATCTGAAGCATTACAGAGCAAACAAAACAGTAGTTGATACATTTTATGTTCTGGATTTTTTTTTTTATTTCTTCAGTCACTGTCCTGTCTCTGATTAACACAATATGGAGAAGACTGCAAATAAGTTAATATTGAAGAAATGTCTATTGTTAGCCAGTTATGGGAAGTAGTTTGCTCAGAGTAATTGAGTTTAAGAAGAGTTTGTAAAAAGAAAAGTATCAGGAAGCTGGACTTTTTATTACTTAAAGAATGGATATAATCTGTCATATTTTGCTAATTAATATCAACTAACCATGTATACCTTATAATATCAGTTATGCTGTTGCTGTTTTCTCCTGAATACAAAGAGACACTTCTGGCATCTTGCAGTAAACAAACCTGTTTAAAAGTGACAGCCTTGTTGCTGTTCTTTACTTAACTTACGGGAGTTAAGAAGGTGAGAAGCAACCCTGAAGCAGCAGTAGAGATTTTTTTAGCATGCTGTCTTATCTGTATAATGAACTAGTCACCTTCAGTTGACTCGCTTGTTTCAATGTTATGCTATGCTAAAATGCCTTGGTTTAGCTGAAGGAATTAGTTCTAGGCTGTAACGCATGCCTACTTGTGCACTGAGACACGATGCAGGGTTCTATATGGTGTTATTGCTCCTCTGGGTCTGTGTAGGGCAGTAATATAGTCATGTCTGCTCAACTTTGTCCTGAAGGAATGTGACTATAATGCTTCAGGACCTGAGGTAATGTCTCCATGTGGAACTTCACTGCTGGACTTCACAGCACTCTCATAAGTAGTTTCAGCTCTCCACTACCTTCGTTGCCCAGTGTAGCATTATCTGTCGTTGAGTGATGCAGTGAGATAATTAGCTTTCAGCTTCTAAAGAAATCACAGATTAGAATAATGTGTATTTAAACTAACAAATCAAAGATTTTTATTCGAGCAAAAGGATAAGCAGAATCAGTTGTGTGCCACTTTCTGACACTAGTTGAGCAGAAAAGAACATAGCCATCTTGATGGATATTTATATTAGAGGTATTTACTGTAGCTGCTCTTATTACTGCTGAATAGCAGAGCCCTACTTGATTTTCAGGTAATTACCAGTAAGCTTAAGACTTGTGGCTTTGATTCAAACATAAACAAGCTTTATCTATTGAGAGACCATTCTAGCAATACTGCAGAACATTGTTAGAAAACACTATTTATAGTGCCTGATGTGTATAGTTGTACTTAACAAAAATGGGAGGAAGAAAGGGTTCTTGCACTCAAGAGTTTGCAGTTTAAGTAGACAGAACAAAGATACAGATGTGATGCATAAACAGACTAGATAGGGAGAATGAGCACAGTGATGATTGAATGTTAAGTGGAGAAAAGAATTGAGTTTTTGAGGGTGCATTTAGAAAGTACATACTATGTGGTAAATCTCTTTCTCAAAGTCAGTCTGTCTCGCTCCATTAAGAAACATTTATTGTTGAACTGAGATGAGAGTCTACTTAATGCTTTTCAAATTGTGTTCCTGACCATGTTTGTTTCAGCAGAGTATCTTAACGCAGAACTGTACACAAGTGTTCTGTTTTGGATTGGGTTGGTGAGATTTTGGTGTTCTGTTTCGTTTTTTTTTTTCTTGTTCTGTTTTTGTTTTTTTTCCCCACCTTGTCAGTTCTGTAGTTGAAAACAAAAAGCAAGCTGTGCATTAAATGGTGTATATCACAGTCTTGTGATGTGTTTAGAAATTACAGTCCTTGTTCATTATTGAGGTTTTGGCAACTGAAGATTCCTTTAGGAGAATGTCTCTTTTCTGGCAGCAGATACCATGATTAAGTAAACAATAGGAAATTATTCTCTCTCATCAGTTTTTGTTTTTTGGAGGAGGTCATTTCATCATCTGGGTATTTGAAAATATTTCATCTTTAGGAGATAATGCAGTGAAAGGGAATCAATTACTCTTGTGTAGAATAAGACTGTATGTAATGTAAATGCGAACTTCTGTGACTATAGTCTCTATTAATTTTGTTTCTCAGAAATTCCTTCCCTGTTTTGGCAGTTGGTGCTTTTATTGTTTAATGTTGTCAAGTATTTGTACCAAACCTTTATTTAGAAACTTTTGCTAAAGGTTTGTTAGAAACCTTGATCAGTTGTGATTCTGAATAACTAAGCCAGCGTTTTTAAATTTATGGTTTACTGAGGTTGATGTTCTTTCACTGTACTACCATGAGTATAAACTTTGTTCTTGTATTTTTTTTTACACAAACCCATTTGCACTTACTAAGAAGTCATTTCTTGATGTTTCTTTTTGTTGATGACAGTGAGTTATTAAAAAATAAGATTTTAATAGCGGTCTCGTTATTATTAGTTTTTGAAAGCCAGTTATGGATTTTTCAGTAGGTTATTGCTATTGTTGTCCCAGTCTACCCTCTGCTGGCTGCACAGCAGTATTAATTAGGTTATCATATGGAACAAGCTGCTATTTTATTAGGGAGCTAGATTTATAGCTAAGAGTTAAGGTCAAAAAGATGGTGTGGAAGGCAACTAGAAAAATATCTTTGGAAAAATAGAGTTGTGAAGAAATGGAATTATTTCCCATCCAGGAAGAATATCCCTTATCATGAGCAAACTGGGAAAAGCACCTGGTTGGTGAAGCTGTTTGGGGTGTATTAATAATATGCACTTTCTTCTAGGAACCTTCCTCACATGTTGTTGTGTCCATTTAATAGGACACCTTTTCTACTTTGCAAGCCCACAGTTCAAAGCATAGCCCGCGCAAAAACAGGTGTTATGTAGATTCAGTGATAGCTGGCATAAAGTTACTTGGTATGCTTATTATTATTATTAATACTGCATCAACATCAGGGCATAACCACACAGAATGCTTATAGTAAAATGTTTTCTGTACATACTGAGTTTAGTAAATGAGAAGCTAACCTTTTAAATGGAATGCTTTTCAATCTGAAAGCAACGATTGCTGGAACTAGGAAAATATTAACGCAGATCTATTTTACATATATTTTATATTTCTAGTCTTAAACATGGTAATTTATCTAGTGATGAGAGTTGAAATGGTTCATTAGCTCTCCCTTTTTGTCTCTTTAATAAACTACAATTTGATACTGTGAAATCAGTCAGGTAATTAAAAGAGAAATGCACATTACTTCTTGATGCTCTCAATTCTATACAGCTGGTCAACATCTTTCTTGAAGTGTGGCTCTCACTAGACATAATGCTTCTGCTTTCCCAGTGCTGAGAAGGAAGGACTCCTTCACATGTGCAGCAGGCTGTATTCCTGTCATACACCCAATTATGTTTTCTTTTTTTCCCAGAGATTGTTGGTTTATGTTCAATTTGTATACTGCCTTAAGCATCCGTATCATTTTTTTAATGGTGCCACCTGGCTGGTTTGGTTTTTTTACATTTGTTTGCAGTCGCTTAATCTTGTCTACGACTAGAAACCTGTATTTGTCCCTATGAAATTGCAACCTTTGGTTTTTTTCAGACCATTTCTGTAATTAGTTAAGATGATTCAGATTTCTAATCCTGTGCTATAGCATGTTTTCAGTCCCTCCTAGTCTTGTTTATTATTACAAGTCATAGGGATCTAATTACATTAAAGTAGGTTGTTTGTTAGTACAAAGTCAGCACCAAATATATTTTGGTCCGGTTTATCCTCTTTACATGCTTAAAATATCTTTCATTATTGGTTTTAATTAGAAATATTTAAACACTAGTGCTAAAGAGAAAATGCATCATGAAAGTGGGCCAACCAAATATTTGAGACATCTCAAAAAACCTAAACTAAACCTAACATATGTTTTCTCACTACTTTATAATACTTCTTTAAATCTTGTAACATACAACCCATGTTATTTTAGAACACCTTTAACAGGACTTAACACATAAATAAAGAATAAACTACAAAGGTAAATAAGTAGTATTACAATAAAAAGCGTTTCAGATTCTCTAGTAATATTCTGAAGCTATTGCTTTTTCTCTGAAAGGTAGAAGTGAGGTAGTTTGTACTTTTGCAGTCACAAATTAAATGGATTAACTTTGCCAGCTGTATTAAACTCCTTTCATCAGGGAAAATAGCTCAAGAAACAAACATAAAACCCAGCAGTGTTTAGCTATGTGCACACCTCTGATGAAGCTGGGACGGCTCTTGTTGGACTGTTATCTGTATATAGTGGCAACATTGATGACCTTACCTTTTGGAAACTTTCAAGACACCATAGTTTTTCTGTCCTGTGAAGGAACACTGGCTACCGTTTTATGTGATCATGGTATGCCTATAGTCAGCTTGTAGGGGAATGTAGCTTTTTCTGCATTTCCAGGTGTCAAAAATTGTGGCCTTTTTTTTTATCCCTCCCCTCCTTGTGTTTGTACCTTTCTGCTGCTACTTGGTGGCTGATAACTCGATCAGCTGCCCCAAGCAGTGCTTTCAAAGGCAAAGCTGCTGTCTGGCCCCACTCGATAAGTCAAGCTGATGCCTGGGCACCCCATGGCTTTGGTGTTCTAGCTGCAGTCACACTCCAGACTGCTTCCTATCACTGCCCGCTGCTCTTAGGCAGCCATGAGATCAGTTTCTAATTACGCATAGGACTTTGTTGTAGTCCTGTGTGGTGCTTGTACCGGCCCTAATTTCATTGCCCTTACTGCCCGATTTCCCAGTCCTTGATATCATCCTATGAACTTACCTGTCTTGTCGCTAATCTAAATTCCTGCACATCTGCTTGAGGGTAGGAAGGCTCTACAGAGGGATCTGGACAGGCTGGATCATTGTGTCAAGGCCAATGGTATGAGGTTCAACAAGGCCAAGTTCCAGGTCCTGCACTTGGGTCACAACAGCCCCAGGCAGCGCTACAGGCTGGGGCAGAGCAGGTGGAAAACTGCCCGGAGGAGAAGGGCCTGGGGTTGTTGGTGGACAGCAGGCTGAATATGAGCCAGCAGTGTGCCCAGGTGGCCAAGGCCACCAATAGCATCCTGGCTTCTATCAGAAATAGCATGGATGGCAGGACTAGGGAAGTGATCGTTCCCCAGTACTCAGTACTGGTGAGGCCCCACCTTCAATGCTGTGTTGGGTTTTGGGAGCCTCACTACAAGAAAGATACTGAGGTGTTAGAGCGGGTCCAGAGAAGGGCAACCAAGCTGGTGAAGGGTCTAGAGCACAAGTCTTAAGAGGAACAGCTGAGGGAACTGGGATTGTTCATCCTGGAGAAAAGGAGGCTGAGGGAAGACTTTATCACTACCTGAAAGGAGGTGGTAGTAAGATGGATGTTGGTCTTTTCTCCCAAGTAACAGACAATAGAGCAAGTTGTGCCAGGGGAGGTTTAGATTGGGTACTAGGAAAAATTTCTTCACCAAAAGGGTTATCAAGCATAGCAACAGGCTGCCCAGGGGAGTGGTTCAGTCACCATCCCTGGAGGTATTTGAAAGATGTGTAGAAGTAGCGCTGAGGGACATGATTTAGTGGTAACTTGGCAGTGCTAGATTACACTACCTGAAAGGAGGTGGTAGTAAGATGGATGTTGGTCTTTTCTCCCAAGTAACAGACAATAGAGCAAGTTGTGCCAGGGGAGGTTTAGATTGGGTACTAGGAAAAATTTCTTCACCAAAAGGGTTATCAAGCATAGCAACAGGCTGCCCAGGGGAGTGGTTCAGTCACCATCCCTGGAGGTATTTGAAAGATGTGTAGAAGTAGCGCTGAGGGACATGATTTAGTGGTAACTTGGCAGTGCTAGATTAACAGTTGGACTCAATCTTAAAGGTCTCTTTCAACCAAAAGGATTTTACGATTCTATGCCTTTTATTTGTACTGATACTTAAGTCTGTTCTTTTTATGTTATCTACCTGAAGTTTGCTTCATCCTGTTTCTTGTCATCTGTTGTAACGTGGCCTGTTTTCATTAGCTGGTTGTTACTTGCAGATAATGTAATAAATGCTTGTTTTAAACCAGACATTACAGATACGAACCTGCTTCTATAATTAGTGAACCTGTTTGTGCATGCATAGAATTGCACAACTTCATTAATGTTTGTGCTTGCAGATTGTATGGGCAAATGATGAACTGACAATTGTAAATGGGAAACTGGCTAGTTGCATGGAAAGGAATGTGTAGTATATTTGAGTTAGATACTATCCTTGTGTAGAAACATATGGAGTTTCACAAGGGTTTTATGAAGTATTTGACTAGTTGGTGTTTGTTGCCACTTTTGTACTGGTATAGAACCGACTTTTCAAGCAGCTGATACTTGTCTATATTCTTTTGACAGTTAAAACTAATAGGTTTGGGTTTGTCTGTCTTGCTTTTGTTTCTATTTCATGGTTTTATTGTAAGTTAAATTAGCTTGTCTGAGATAGGCTTTGTAAGTTTTCTTAATGCTAATTTGTGCATTAAGAATTCTTAATGCTATTAAATATGACATTATACCCTGTAAATCAATATTTGAAATTCCTATTTTATAGATAACATTTTATGTCTCTACAGGAGATTTGTATTGCAAAGCATAATGAAAAGATTCAGCAGCGTCACCAGAGTGAGGAGGAATACAAAATGCACCATACTGTTCAGCTAGTAAGTTTGAGTTTTCTGCTGTTGAGTTTAGCCTTTAGTTAATAGCTTGCCTTGCTCATTTTACATTAATTAGGAGAATATTCAGAGTGATAGCTGTTTTAAAAAGATAGTGGTTATCCCTGACCTTTGCACCGTGGATTTCTGTATCGTGTTATGCTGGTAGGGGAGAGTATATAGCTGTGTTAGGATAACACTGAACACAAGCAAGTAAAACGGTTCTTTCATGCTAGGTTCACAGTCTATATGACTAAGTGATTACTGCTAGGGTTAGACTGTGCAGTGTGTTATCATGTGTTCATAGATGATTCAAAGCATCTTTTAGTACAGCGTCAGATACGCTGAGATAAGAAAACTATACATCTATTCTTGAATCTTAATAAGCTTGTTCATTATTTTTCTTCTTTTTACAAAAGGAATCACTTGAATTGTATTGTATAAAGATGTAGCTCCAGCTGTATGCTCTATGATCCTCTGAATAAGCTAGCTAGTCTGACTCTTGTGCTGAACATAATTGGCTTTATCTTAGAATATTCAAATTTGGGGCTTGGTCTTGGGAGCTGATATAGTATCAATATTTAATAAAGATCACTGACAAAGATGCATTGAAATCCAAATCTCTTTAATTCAGGCTTCAATTAGATTAGTGAAAGTGATTCTGTTTCATCCTTATACATCTTTAACATTGATACATTTGTCCAGGAAGTCAGCTGCATAATTTATTTTATAAAAAGGCTACTTGTGAAAGACAGTATGTATTGGCATATTCTTTTAGGAACTTAAAAAAATATTTTTTTTTCAGTGCTTACAATAACACAAAGCAATTTGCTGTGTGGATTGTAGTCCATTTGTCACTCTTAAAAGTAAGACTTGACCCAGCTGAAAGACTTTCTTGTCTCTCAAACACTACAGAGCTTTTTAATTACTTATTTTGTGAGGTTGCCTGCTTGCATTATATAAAGAACTGTATGCTGCTTTTTTTTTTTTTCTGTTAATAGTGTCACTGAAAATTTCTACTATTATTGTAAAATCGGTTTTCAGCCACTGGTTTTCATGAAGAATTTTGAAGAGATAACCTCAAGGGTGGCCAAACCTTAAACCAAATGAGAGTTGCATTTTCACTATTTTAATTTAAATACAAAACAAAAAAATACCCAAACCAAACAATAAAACCCCTTGAGTTTAAGAGTGCTTCAGGAAAAGTTTGAACTGATTGCATTTGTAATATCCAGGTGGGGTGGTAAAACTATTCTTCCTTCTTACTATAATCTTTTCTTTATGCTTCTGTTTTAACTTCTTTGCCACATTGCTTTATTTTCTTTTCAGCACATGCTTCTATTCCTCATCACCTTTTCCTGTTTCCTGTCCTTACTAGTTTTCAGATGTATTCTGCTCTCCTTCTCCCTAATGCATCTATATGTCCTTACTTCCAAATCACAGGACTTGGCTCTTTATGAAGGACAACAGACCACTAGCTGACTTTTGAAAATGGCAGGCAGGCACTGATTTTGTGTTGACCAAATTACAATAAAAGCTCACAAAAGTGATCAGAATTTTTAATTATGATGATGGTGAACATGAGCTTTTAAAAGTAATACTAAGTGCTGTGAGTCATTTAAGAATTAAAGCTGCTTTTTCTGCTCATGGTTTTTTCTTTATAGTCACTTGGTCTATTGCTTTTCCTGGTAACTTCTGAACTTGCATACAGTGACTTTTGCCATCTGATAGCTAGCATCCACTTTCAATAAATTTGAAGAGTAGTGTTTTGTTTCAAAGATGTAGTAACGTCACTGAAATTTTGTGAAAATGGATGGCTAGTTAAAGGAGGTGGATGCAAATATGCGTTTTCACTGAGGTAAGATCCCCAAACAAGAGAAAATACAACTGTCTTAGCTGGAAGGAAGAGCTTCAGACCTTCACTGAGGAAAGTTTACAGAAAATCAAGCTGGATTAAATAATGACGGCTTAAGTTTATTAAATACAAAACTTATATTTACTGTTGTAGATTAGAACGAAAGCGTTGACTTAGCTTGCTTAGTATTGGAATCAAAATTATGTGGCATTGAGTTCTGTGATTTCTTGCACTGTGAAAATACGAAGATGACTTGTTTTAAAAAGGCAACCTTGTAAATTGGACTGTTGTTCTGTTTTTGGAACAAGAGAAAATGGATACAGGTTTGCTGCCTGGCTAGTTCATGCTGGCTTTAATTTAAAGGGGCTTTTTTCAATATAATATTCTGTCATGTCTCTAATTTTTTCTTTATTTCTCATTCTTCAAGGTAACATTTTTTCAACTGTTTCAATTCCAGATTGAAATCTTCCTTTACTGAACTCTGCATTTTTTTTGAGATTATAAAACATGAAATGCATAATATTTTTTTAAGGGGAAGACAAAGGCCAAGTTTTGAAGTTGAGAAAAGTGTTTATTTGAGAAGTAGGTTGTTAGGTAATTTGTAACAATTAGTAGAAGAGTTGTTTTAATTCTGTTTTCTTAATGATCCTAAACACAGCTTTGGATGTAATATTTGCATATTTTCCATATATTTTCTCAGAAGCGAGATCAATTACAAGATGAAGAGGAAAGAAAGAGCTCTTGGGTTAGTCAGGAACGACAGAAAACACTGGACAGACTTCGCACATTTAAACAGGTAACAGAAAAAAAGAGTTGTTCTTTTAATTAGTTTATTTTGCAAAAGAAATTTTCACTCATTCTGTGACCACGCTATTCTATTAGCTGTTCTCTTTCATTGTGTTAACTGTTCTTTGGAAAATTTACAACAAAATAAGGCAAATGGTGGTAACAAATTCCTCTGGCCATTGCATTCCTGTAATAAACTTCTGTACACTCTTAAGATCTACATCTTGTGACAAGACACTTAGCAAACGTTCTTTAAAGAAGTGTAATCTAAATGGTATTTCCCACAAAGGGCATTACCATCTGACATATCCCCACTACCACTGATTGCTAAAACACTTGCCAATACCTGCCTTTTCCAATTATAATGTATCAGAAAATGGATAGAAGATGGAATGAATGGGGGGAGAGTAAGAAGAGGGGTGAAAGTGCAAGAAAACTGATAGTGTATTGATAGGTGAAGACTTTTTTTGGTTTTGCTGAATACATTAAGAAAATTGGAGAATTTTCTGTACTGGAAAGTTGTCTTGCTCGGCAGTACGGTCTTCATATCCTTATTGTTTGCAAGGCTTTTGAATTGCATAGCTTTTGTAAATTAAAGCGAATTTACTTATTTTAACCAGCAACTGTTAATGAACTGCCTCTATGTGTGAGCATGTTGATATTGCTATGATCTCTATTGTCTTAGGCCTATCAGAGTTGTGTAAAATTAAACTTTTTCAAAAGTCTCAAAATGTTTGATGCCTTCAAGAGATACCTTTTTAAGCAGTATGATTCAGATCTGAGGCCCAGTGCATTTGGTTAGAGAGTACTTTGAGCAGAGGGAACCATTGACCAGTTTTAGAAAAGGAAAGCAAGAGGGAATTTTGAATTTTGTTTCCAGAAAAAACAGTTTTGAAGGTACAATCTGGTTCTCAGTGAAATCCTAATTCTAACCCATGTATATCCCTGACTAGAATATTCTCATGTAAATTGTGGCTTAACCAAGAATAAGAATTAAGAAAATGAATGATTTTTGCAAAAAGGTGAGCATTTATTTGCTTTGTGTTGAGCAAAATGAATGAAAATAGCAGGTGAATTCTGCTTATCAGAAAGGCAAACCCTAACAACAGGTACTTGGAATCTAGAGTAGTGCGTTGCATGTACTTATCTAATTGTCACTCACTTATCTGATTACTCACTTTAGCGGTACCCGGGGCAAGTAATACTAAAATCAACCAGACTACGGCTGGCTCATGCAAGAAGAAAATGTGCGGCCAGCTCGGTGTCCCGTGTTGATCAGCCTCAGTCTTTGCCAGCAACCATACAAATCCAAGAGAAAAGCGAAGAGGTGGAATTGGAGAATGCAGTTCAGCCTTTGCAAGTGCAGGAATCCACAAGCTTAGAACAATTTCAAGATATCTCATTACCTCCCAATGGTGTTACCTCTGAACTGCCTCATGCTAGTACTTCTACGCTCACCAGTACTGACTATCAACCAGAGATTGTTACTGTAGTACCACTTCCACCTCCTTTGCCTCCACCACCTCCACCTCCGCCTCCACCTTTGCCCTCCAAGGAAGATGCCACCAAATCCTTAGAGAAAAGCGACAGCTTTGTTAAACGTCAGAGTGAAGAGAAGGGAGTCCAGCACTCTTCTGGTCTCCCACCAGCACATCTGTTTGACAGCAGTCAGCTAGTCAGTGCAAAGAAGAAGCTTAAGAAGACTGGTGAGCTAGAGGGTTTACAGAGGAGAAGAGGTAATGTCTTCATTTCTGCATATTTAATTGTAAGGCACATCAGTTCCTCTTCTGAATTGCTCTATAGAAAAGTGTAAGCTGTCATTCATATATAATTATGGGAAAGTTGTTAAATCCTTTTCAGTTGACAGACAGTAACTCAAATAAACCTTAGGACCTTTACAGCAGTAAGGGATATACTTGTTCAGTTAGCCAGAAAACATTTGTGAAATTGACTCTATGATATACCACATTAGACTAGCTAGAAAGTGGAGCTAAACCTTGTCTAAAAGAATCTTGTACAGCCAGCATTGCATATGCTTCACCTGAGGGTGCAGTGTTTTATAATAATGGAATTTTACATAATTTATGACTTAGTAAAATGAATACTTGTCTTGGGACATAGGAAACCTTGAGAATGGTTTTTTCAAATTTTCGTATTAAAATCCACAAACACTCAAGTATCCTTGAGAGCTGAGTAAGAAAATTCTATATTCTGAGTAACAATATAGAAGTGTAACTGCAATTGTAAATTAAACCTGTAATCATTCAGCAAAGTATGTTAATAAATAGTTAAAAGAAGAAAAACTTATTTGAAAACTGAGGAGAATGAATTGAGGACGTGGCTGAGCTGGGAGATCTGTTAACAACTTCATCATTCTCTACTACTTGTTTTTTAACTGTCCTTTATCCCGTATATAAAAAGCGGAGAATGGCAGCCATGTTTGAACAAAATAATCCTGGTGTTTTGGTGAACTGTGCTATATTGGAGCAAAGTTTTTATTTGAAAATCAGAGATGTGATTTTCAGAAGCGTTCAGCTGCACTATATTACTGAAAGCCACTGAGAAAAAGTGCCTTGAGCGGGCCTTGATTTGCACTGCTGTAACATGGCTGTAGTAACGTTTCATTAAAAATTCTATCTGTCTCTGTCAAGTACAACTACAGAAAAGATCCCTCCATTGACATTTCCCCCCATCTAGATAAAATCAAAACTAGAACTGTCTTCATCAATCAGACAGAAATAAGAGTGTTTCCTCTAGAGTTGTCCTTAAATGACTGAAAGCCCTTGAAGCAACTGCCTAGTTCTAGAATTCTTAAGGTCTTATGTATCTTGCAGGTTGCAGGTACTGTGTCTTAAGTTTATTATCAATTTTGATTCTTCTGTGCTCCATTTTTCTATGTCTGTAGTCCTATTGTTTATTTTTCTGATACCCATTTTGTCTTGCAATTTCATAAAAAGCATGTGTTTTGTGTGCAATTTGATATACACCATAAAATGACAAATATAAAATCAAATTATATCCTCCCTCTTAAGGGTATTGTTAATGTCTGCAGCAGCACTCTACCTGCTGCTCTGTGTTCCCTAAGATGTTCTAAGTCTCTGAGTGGCTTCAGAAATTTGTATCACAGATGAGTGTGTTACAATCCTTCCTTCATCCTTCAAGTGTGCAATCCTGTATTCTTCTTTTATTTCTCTCTTTCCTCATGTCTGTTCCAACTGTCTGGGCCATTAGTCTGATGGACAAAGCCCACTCATAAACGCAAAACGGTACACAAAAAGGAACTGGATATGCATATTTCTCTGTTGATTCATATGCGCTGCACGTTGTATGTGCTGGTGTATGCGAGCTATTTCAAACTGTTGTATTTTATTAATAGTGCAATCTCTGCAATAGAAATATTTCCTACTTGTAGCTCTTCAAAGAGCCAAAGCCTAATTTTTATTTCTGCAGAGAACTGGTTTCAAATTAGTGATAAAGGAAGGATTTGTGATAAAAGTATTAATTGTTACTTCTCTGCTTTCATTAATTATAAAAGGAAGGGAATTTATATAGGCACGCTATGCCAATACATTCCGGAGAAGCAAGAAAGTGCATGCTGTTGCAGTTGACTATACTGCTGCTTCCCTCACTGGCACGTAGTGATAGTCATACAGTACAGTAGTCATACAGACTTCACAGTCCAATACTTAACTTATTACTGAGTTTCAAAGTCAAGAAAGATAATGTAATAAACACTTTCATTGTGTTGTATTTATTTTGGCTATTTTGATTTGCCTACCTGCAAACAGGAAATCCATCTTGTTTGGAAAGTTTTACTGCCTACCCAACAGAAATTATAATTGTCTGTTTAAATGTTTTGACCTGGTAAAAGGAAAGATAAATTTGGAGGCTAAAACATTAATAGTATGCAGCCACTTCTTGGTCTGTGGGAAAAATAAATGAATACTGATAAAAATTAATAAAAATAACACTGAAGTTCTTTTGATTTTCTGCAGTGAGTTCCCCAATGGATGAAGTGCTGGCTTCCTTGAAACGTGGCAGCTTTCACTTAAGAAAAGTTGAGCAAAGAAGTCTCCCTCCTTTTCCTGATGAAGATGATAGCAATAACATCTTGGCACAGATCAGGAAAGGGGTGAAACTGAAGAAAGTGCCGAAAGATGTTCTGAGAGAATCCTTTACAATTCTGCCTGATACTGACCCTCTCACAAGGAGCATCCACGAAGCATTGCGACGCATTAAGGAAGCATCACCTGAATCAGAGGATGAAGAGGAGAGTTTGCCTTGCACAGACTGGGAAAACTAACCTGTAATTAACCTACATTTTAAAAAAAAATATTTCTCGAACGCTTTTTGTATAACAATAGTGGCTAAGCCTCAGGTTGTGCTTTCTAGGAGACCTAGTATGAATGTGACTAAGCAGTTTGGCATGGTAAAACATGCACATACGAATTTAGTATCACTGACTTTTCAAAGAATTTAAGATTTATAGTAAGGAGAACTTTTTTTAGGCAACATCTTAGCCTTTTATTGTTTGAATACTTTTGCTTAATATTGACAGGACTGCTCCTATAAAAAGCTCTATTTTGTTTAGTAAATTTGAAGGGACTGTTTGCAGCTTACCAAAAAGCTTTAAAAAGCTTTTAAGTAACAAAGCAGCACAATCACTCTTGGACACACCTTGTACTTATTTTCTAATTACTTCTGGCTTTGTAAAAATTCAGCATGTTTATCACTTCAGACTGAGTAATATTGTCCAAGTGAAGGACAATTAGATTTGACTGCTGAACACATTGAAATCTCATTGGTTGCCCTGTGTGACTGATTCTTTGATTGTAATCTGTAAAGTCTCTTAACTGAATTTAAAGTCTATAAACAGTAAGTATACAAACATAATTTATACTTCTGCTATTCATATGAATCCCATGAACTTGCATTATACTAAGCTGTGGTGCCTGAAAGTGCAGATGTTAGATGTCAGCAGATGAAGTTAGTGATTTCAATAAAAAACAGAAATTGGCAAGAGATTAGTTTTCAAAATTATGGCTGAATCAGTAGCACAAAGAGATTATTGATTACAATAACAGCATACAGGACTAATCTTCTGTGGTGGTTCTTTTCTGCTACTGGCTTGTGAATTGCCTTAGGTCTCAATGAAAGTTCCCACTAAACTTGAAATTTGGAGAGGTATGACTATCTGTAAAGAATTTAGAAATCTGTTTAGAAATCAAAGGTTATTTCAAGAGTGTGGAAGATAAATATTTACAATCCTTGCAAGACAGCTAGCAGTATAAAAAAGATAATTTTGGGGATTTCTACAATCAGGCATTTCTACCCTGGTTGGCTATTATCATAGTTTAGGACTGACTATTGATACAGTGCTACAGCTGTTTAAAAAGTGATGATGACTTAGTATGTCATCTGCTGAGTGTTATTGTGATTATGAAATACTATGTCTCAAACTGTTCCATTGGTATGCTATTTTCAAATAATATTTAAAATTTTGAAAAAGGAAAACAAAAGTTGCCTTTATTTCCTTGTGGACTAGCCATTGGCCACACTAATGATTTAATACTGTTTAATTATGGCGTGCTCCTTTTATTACATACCAAAAGTACTGTTAATTTTGGAGCTGAATGTCTAGAAGTGGAGGTGTACTTAACTCTTGCTGAAACTCAAAAATGAAGATAATTTTGCTTGGATATAACTTTTTTTTTTCTGTACTTGCATACTGAAAACTTACACAGCCCTTCAGAAATCAAGTGACAGGCATAAGAAAAGACATACCTTGGAACTGACTTGGCTTTCTCAGTGCAATTATTCTCCTTTCATTTCCTAGATAACTGAGAAAATTGAAACTTTGTGATTTGACTTTATGGTTTTAGTAAACCTAACTTAGTCATGGGGATCTTGTTTGCATTTTTTTAGCAAGAATACTCTTTAATACTAGAAGGAAAATAAAAAAAAAAAAAGGAATTTTCCAAGGCTGACTTCATATTTTTTAAATCTAGTTGGTGGACCTCCTAAACATTTTGCATTCGAAGTATGTCCTTCTAGAAGTCTTATGTGTACATTGCCATACAACATACATACATGTTCTCCGTTATATTTTGCAGCCCTGTAGAAGCAGTTCAGACTGGGGGTTGAAAATCACTGCCATGCAGTACCTGTAGTGCAAATGGTTGTTGTCTTTTTTTTTTTTTTTTTTTTTTTAAAATCCCTGCCAGGCAGTACCTGTAGTGCAAATGGTTTTTTTTTTTTTTTTTTTTTTTTTTTTTTAACCAGTCTACAGTCCCTCTGCTAAGGATGCAGTCCTGTCAAACGCTGAGGTCCCATTAAATCACTTGGACCTAAAGCAGGATGCAGTATCAGAGTTCTGAGTGTGTGGTCCTTGGAGTTCTTCACACATCTAGGACCTGTTTTCTCTTACCAATGTTGTATTTCATCATTAAAACTATCTTGTTTTCGTGAGATGAGACTATTTTAACAGCACAGATTGATTGAAAAATGATTGCATAAAGTAGCTAACAGCTCAGAAAAGTGGGCCCCTGCTACGAAGTTCGCAAAAGAATCTGGGAGAACAGAGATTGAGACAAAGCCTTTGTGAAATTGAGCTAAATAAATATTTTTCACAAGGATAAAAATGCTTGCTTAAACGCATAGGCTGGTTACCCTGAATTTATGACACAAGAGTAAAATCTAATTAAAGTCTGTTGTAGAAATTGTAGAATAGTATTTTTACTGTAATGTTATCCATTTAATACCATGCTTTGATTGACCTACTGATTTTTAACTGTGAGCTCTGCACATACAAAAAACCCAGGTGCATAGAGATTTTAGTTTGAAAACATTTATACAAAAGCATAAGAATCTTTATAGGCTAAATGGAATGCAATTATTTACCTTAGGAATGAAGGCTAAATCTGATAACAATGATACATGTTTATGAAGTGCCAAAAAGTGTCTTAAGGTATGTACAAGGATGCCCACTGAAGTGGTTTCATTAATTATTGACGTTTGAAGACAAACAAACAGTAACTAATTTCTGCAGGAGATGTAGGTATCTCTTGTATTACCTGCTTTATGAGTTAACTGCTACATAAAGTTACGACTAACATTTGTAAGAACTGGAGCACATACAAAAACTTTGGGGCGTCCTATGTATTGGAAGTACAGCTGAAGAAGCAGTATAAAAACGCAGTAACTTCTGTATGAAAAATCAGAAGATTACTGGGTATCAAAAGTATCCCAAGCCTGTCTGTGTGTGTACATAAAGGTACACATAAGTCACTACAGTACATTGAAAGTATTGTAAGTAATGCGAAACCTGGGTTCCTGGGAGTGATGGACAAAGTCATAGATCAGAAGTGAGCTTTTGCTCTCCATTGCCTTCTAATCCAGTATTTTGGGCCTTTTCAAACTCCAATCTATGTTCACTGCCAATAATACCGGGAGGCCAAAAAAGACCTGGTTGTATTCTGTGTGTCCTGGCTCCACAGTTAGTGTGTCATTACCCTTGGAGCAAAGAGAATCAAGGCTTTTGAAGATGCTGCTCAGTATTGCATGTTGGAATTGCCTAATATATTGATCACAGAATGTTTGTACAGCTGTTTAGCTTTTCAGATGTTCCTTTTCTTTTTTTTTCCCCAAACAGGTGATTCACAGCTACTGATGTGAGAAAAGAAACCCCTGTTGAAGATCACTTTTCCTCTTCATTTCTGAAAATTCAGAGCAAGCAGTTATCAACACCAATTCCGCAGGCTTTCTTTGGCAAATTATTCAGTATATGGAGAAAATGGCCTGAAATGTTAATTTTCTGGTCACTTTTTTTTTTTTTTAATTTGTTCCAAAAAATCTGGTTTGGGCAAAAAGCTAAACTGTTCTGGTGTGCATTTTATATAATCAAGAATGCCCAGTTCTTAAGCACTTTTTGCATTTGCGTTAGTAATGTGTGGCCAGTTAAGCGAGGGGGACATTTTGAGTTGGGAGAATACTTGCTGTTAGAGTAACTTTGGGATTTGGCAAAGACATCAAACCAGCTATAAAACGTCCCCTTCGCTGCACTGAATATATCATCTGCTTGAAAATCCAACTAAACAGCTCCTTGCAGAAAAGCTTGCTGATATTCCAGAAAGAGGAGAATTCCTAGTTGCACTGCAGTAGCTGAAATTCAGTAATGTGCAACTAAGACTTTCTTTTTTTCTTCCTAGTTTGAAGAAGTCTACGTCAGTATGAAAAGTAACAAATGACTACAGCACAATGAGAAATAAGAGACGAATTCAGCACATACTCAATGATGTGTTTGTTTCCAACATGGTACATTTAGCAAGACATACCATGGCACCTTTTTAGGTCATTTGTAGTCTGACACCTTTATAACTAGACATTATCATGCTTTTTAAAAATAATACTTAGCTATGCTGAACCAAGTTAGTTATACTTTTATCATTTGTTATAAGAAGCAATATTTTGTAATTTCATACTTAAGATTATTTTTCTCTTTTGGTTTAAAATGGCTTTTGATTACTTTAAGCAGCCTTCTTTAAAAAGATCGAAGCACTTAAACATACTAATAATTCAGTTGTGAAAATCATGCTTCTCTTGCTGGTTTTCATTATCCACTTTAGCGGCTGCAAAAATGTTTGTATTTCATAACCAAAAGCTTACTGGCTGAAAAAAAAAAAACTTCCCTTTTGATCCTGACTATTGCTTTTTTCTTAAAGGGGAGTTACAACTTCCTCTGCAGTGAATACTTAGAAGTAATCCTAAACTTCATGACTAATGGCTGCAGGCAGCTACTTTTATGATACCACAGTACTATGAGGTATGTCAATACAGAGATCCAAGTAGCCTTGTACCATCTAGAAACTCCATCCGATATTAAAGTCAGCCCGTTAGAAGAAAACTGAATTTTCACTAGCATTTTATTTTTACTAGTGTGAGATACACTGTGTGTGAGAAATACACAGTCCCTGTCTTTTGTGTACTGTGGTCCAGTCACTGTTCCTCTCATGACAGATAAACAGCTATGCAGATATGGGGATTTTTTTTTTAGCAGAGTTATGCATTGCTGCTGTCATGGAATGGAATACTTATTGTGCTCATGTTTATAACAGGAGATTTCATATCTTGCCATTTACTTATACGAAAAGGAACAGAACTTACCTTAGCAATAGGCTATGTAACCTAAAGGAACCTCGGCTCTTGCACCCTTCAGTTGTTTTGCTGTTACTATCCTGAAATGAAAGCTCTGTCAAACATCTCAAAAGGATGTCACTTTACCCTTGCTATCAACAAGCATTTTCTTAACCTTGTTGCCTTATTTATAAAGTTGGTGAACATTCATTTTCAAAGCACCTGTGAGCAGTGTTACTGTAGAGTTGTATCAATTTTTCTGTATTAGTCATCATGTTTGTATTCTGTCTTGAGATCAGCTCTGTGAAGCACGTGATACTGAGTTTTCAAGGACCTAAAACATGGGGATGTTTTTTCTTAAACTGCTTCTCTGAACCTTGAGTTACATGGTGTGGTTGTAAGCTGTCAAATACTGAGTTCTGGCAGCAATAACAGCGAGATTTCAACGTTCATCATAATCATTTGACATTGCCTTCCCATAAGCTGTGGTGTATTTTTCTCTCTGTTTGTCTGTACTTCCAGTCACACCACATGTTAAAACTGAGGCAATCAAGTGAATTTTTGGCTGAAGCCCAAAGCAGAACTATGATGTAGGATGGTAATCCTGATTATACAGTTCATCTGATCAATTAACAGTGGTGATTGAGCAACTTTTATGTCCATTTTTTTCCTATTTTCCAGCCTGCAGTTTTTTTCCTTAGAGTATGCATATGGGACACTAGCAAAATTCCAAGCTGAGGATAAATAGTGTAATTTTAAAGCGTAGGTGCAATGGTCCCCTTGCACAATATCTGTGTCTACAGTTTACCAGTGTTGTGATTTATTGAAATAGCTCCATGCTGTATTGTACTACGGTTCTCAGATTTGTTTGCCACGTGATCTATCATCTTTGCCTTGGAAAATGTGTGCATGACTGAGAAAAATTACTGTCCTTAATGTATTTTATATTTATCTGAAATATTAGATTCCTGTAATAGCTTAGTTTTTAGAAATGGAGTTCTCATACCAACATGTATTTTATGCGCACACAAAAAGTAGTTGTTATGCTGAGCATAGCAGTTTATATTAGTTCAAAACTGCCATCTTTAATGTGGAAGGTAAATGTCTTTTTTTTTTTTTTTCCTACGTATTGCTAAAAAAAAAAAGCCTGGATTTTAATCTTCTTTGAGTCACTAGATGTCACAATTTCACATAATTCTCCACTTTGATATAAAAATTTTGCATATGTAGTGTACAGGCTAATGCATAAAACTCCCATCCTCTGTAACATGATATTTTGCAGTAGGACGGCTCCAGCAGCAAATGGGGAAAGTTAAGTATATTTGCAAGAAATTTACAGAAATTATGACAGGCCTGCATTAAGATTGGTTCCTCCATAGCTAAGAAAAGATCTAATAATTGTGTTTGTCCTTGAGAAAACTTGGCAAGCATCACTACAGAAAAACCCACTTGAACATATGCAAGGAAAGAGAACTTCCATTAAAATACCTTTCTGCTATTATTGGTATTTTTCATTTGTGGCTGGACTTCATTGGTGCAGCTGCGTTGTTCTGTTGCTAGTCATTTATCTTGCACAGTTTGCCAGCTTAAAGGCTTTTTCCATTTTGAGAAACTTCTTTCTTTGTTCAAATTAAAACTGTGTTAGTATAGGGTAACTGATCCAGTGAGGCAAAGAGTTGGAATGCATAATGTTTATTGGCTTATGTGAGAACTGAAGAACCTTTTATGAGTGGGAACAAGAAATGAAAAACTCAATTTCTACTAAAATAACCAAAATGTAAGCTAAACAGCAAGTCTTCTGATCAGAAATGGAATTTGCATCAACGTGAATTTCATCCTGCCATTCTCAGAGGTTCCAGATCCTTTACAAATGACAAATAGTCTTATTTTATTCACTTTACTGTGTTTTCATATGTTAGTTAAATTATCTGTTTAGGGTAGATGAAGGCTTTTTAAAATTTTCTTAAGCATCACTTTTAAGTTTGTTTGTTTTTTTTTAAATCTGACAGTCTGCATACTACACCAGACACCTATAAAATAAATTAGTATGATTATATTTTGTGTTCTTTTGTGGCTGCATCAGGGATAGGACTCAACATACTTCACTACATTCTTTGTAAAGAATCATTTTGAGTATAAGCACTATATTCTGTAATGTTTAATATGAAAGTAATGACAGGTGCATTATTGAAGATGCAACTTACTGAGAAGAGGAGGCAGAAACTTTTATTGGTTAATGTTACCCTTATTCCGTTTGTTGCACTGAATTTTGAGAGTGTAATTTGTAAATCAAGTTTGCTCACGTGTGTAATCAGATTTTATTTTCATTGTGATGCTTATGTGATTAAATTACCTTGATGTATTTTGGGTAATGATTTCATAAGCATGGACAATATGTTGTTATGTTTAGCACTACAGAATTAATGTTAAGAACAAGCGAAGCTTCTTGCATAGAAAAGGAGTAATTAGAAGCACCTTACTGGGAGAGCACGTTGCATGATTTCAGTGCTACTGGAGCAGGCAGACAGTAGGTCATCCTAAACTTGACTGCAGATCGCTCTTTGGTGTAATAAAGCACACTGACATACTGCTATCAATGCTGGAAAAAGTACAGCAATGGCTATTTTTAACCTATAAATATACTGTAATTTAAAGTTTTCCTACAAAATGAATTTATATTTAATTGCTGCCTAATACATAAATACTTAAAAATTTTTGGAGGGTCAAGGGTGGGTGGGCATGCCAATATATTTTTGGGAGGGGCTATTGTATATACGGTTCTTTGCACTTCCCGTTCAGTTTGACTGTTAATCCAAAACTCCCAGCTCTGACTGGTGAATCTGCAACCTAACATTTACGTGTTATTATCATAGAATCATAGAATTTCCCAGGCCGGAAGGGACCTCCAAGGGTCATCTAGTCCGACCCCCCCGCAGTCAGCAGGGACACCCCCAACTAGACCAGGTTGCCCAGGGCCTCGTTGAGCCTCTCCTTGAATATCTCCAGGGAAGGGGCCTCAACCACCTCCCTGGGCAACCTGTTCCAGTGCTCCACTACCCATTATGATTCAGGTAATCTATATTCTGTAGCCCAGAGCTTCAGAATTCGACAGAAGAGGTCATCTTTCCATTCTTAAATGTGAATGCTCAAATATGGAAAATGACCATGCAACGAATTTTACTCTGCGGAGTTTCTAATATTAATGTAGAGTATTATTTAAAGCTGATATCTAAGGCTATTAACCAATATAGGGTATAGGCCATTTGGAACAAGTAAAAAGCATGATGACCATTTTGGTGAGCATAGTCCAAACTCTGCAGAGATTTTATTGCAGAGACTGCCACCTCTTCAGTAATCAGTTTGCCCTAGACTTGTTTGGTTTTCAGATTTAGAAACATATTTTTCATTTCTGAATTGGGAAATAGGTGTTGGGGATTAGGGACTCTCATTTAACATCTCCCAGTATGTTACTGTGGTTGCTACATGTTTTGAGTTTTGACTTAAATATATACATCATCATAAGATGAAAACTTAAGAAACACAGATGGATGCAGGTTGTCTTGCATGAAAGAAGACAGTAAAGTTTAATGACACTAACTTCTTTAAGCCTGTCAAATAAATAAGAAATAATCAAAAGAAAGCCAGTTTGCATTGACTAGCTTTGTGCAATATTATCTGTAGACTCAAATGCTACTAGCACATTGTGCTTGGCTTTAAGAAAGTTCTGTAACTCCCATTATATTCAAAAGGATATATTAAATGCATATTTTATTGTAAACGACTCCGCAAATTTACTATGCCTAAAAATGCTCAATGTTACAAAGTATTAAGCAACAAGTGTTTTAAAAAAATAAAGGGGGTAAAAAAACTAAACCATTTCTGGCAATACCTAAAATCTTAAAAAAAAAAAAAAAGGTTTTAACTGTCTGCTTCTTGCTCGTTTTTCTTTAGTGCAGCTTTTCTGCAATGCAAGTTTATTGCTGTGTATTTTATGGTTTTTATTATCATGACTCAGAAACTTAAACCTGTACACAAAGTAGTGCACTCACCTTCTTGTACATGCAATGTAACATCATACTCACAGTTTTGGTGCTTTAAATGATTCCTTTTTTTCTTTATTAAAGGATATTTATTTGACCACGGTCTGGTTTTGAGTATGTACCAACAGTAAAAATAAAAATTCTCTTAGGTTTTCACTGTTACTCTTTTAACTCCTCAACCTGCCTGTCATTGCTTAATGGCAGGTGGTTGTGCAGTAGGGAATGATTATATTTAGGTGACATCTTGATAAGCTAAGTCACATAAACAATTTAGGTTTTATAGAAGACTCTTGTTAATCAGAAGACAAAAACACTCTATGAAAAAGGGTAAAAATTTAAACCCAGAAATATTAAGAGTTTAGCTCCCTTCTGACACTCTTGTACCCTCCTGGAGGTAGCTGGTGGCAGTGCCATTTCGTGGGGAGCCGGAGCCTCCACCTCCTGTCACTTAAGTAACGATAATGGAAAAGCTCAAATCAAAAACATGCAACTTCTCCGCTATTTGCATTTTTTTGCTATATGCACAATATAATATTTCAAAAGCAAACTAGATTGTATGTGAAGAACTTGGATACTTTAGAAGTATGTTTATGAGTGTTTTGAGTGAAAAAAGTTTAACCTTTTTTTTTTTTTTTCTGGGCAAGGGGAAATATCCCAAAATAGAAAAGTAGTCACGTCCCAGGCTGCAGTTCCCAGCTTTTTGTTTGTTTTGGGCTTTCTTTTTTTCCCCTGTAGGCATTTTGTGGTTTTATTTGTCTAGATGTAAATCTAGATAAAGCAGTTATGTTTGTATTGTGCATCTTCTTCCTTTCACTCCTGTGTTTCTGGTACAAGAACTACAGGTAAGTTGGTGCAGGCTGGTTCTATGTCCCTTAACATGAAAAAAAAATAAATTATCAGTGCATTTCTGGAAGAGGGACTTCTCACTGTAATTACAATCTTGAGAAAACAAGAAAAAAACCCCTGATGTTCCTAGTAACAAAGTGAAACAAAGGTTGCATTTGCAGTACAAATGTACGTTTAACCCAAGTCCGAGGCCTGCCTGGCTCATGTTTTCCGGTGGTGGTTTTCACTCAGTGATGGTGGCAGGTGCTGTTAATTTTGGGTTGTGGCAGAACATGTAGAACAAGTAGGAAATGTGTTTTGAACTAAGCAAGTTCTTTGATCATCGCTGACTTCTGTTATGAATAAAGAGGTTTGTGTTTGCAGTCGAGGTCTGTTCCTAATGGCCTGGGCAGCGCCTGTGACCCAGGTGCCTGCAGATCTTCTACTCTGTGGCACAGGTATTTGCTACCCTCAGCTGGTGTCTACTTTGGCATTGCCTTCAGTACACAGGAAGCTGGTTTTTTACATCTCCAAAGGGTATTCCTACAGATTTTTAATTTTTTATTTAATGCATGCATCAGAATTGCAAACGTATCTATAGGCACACTTGGAAGGCAGTGGTGTGCTACTGGGAATAAGGCCTAAATGTTTGTACAACACATAGAATATGGGAGATGGGTAGAACCATCATTTATGTGGGGTTTTTTTCATGTTAGTTACATGTCAGGTGTAAAGGTACATTGTAAATAAATATCCACTGGGCCACAGTCCTCAAACTTGTAGAAATAGAATACCACCCTCTTTCTCACAGAAACCATTGGTGAATGTAGGGTTTGTTTCTGTTGCGCTGCTTGATACTCAGCAGAGGGAATGAGGAGAAGGGAGAGAAGCAAAAATAAGGAGTGAGTTTGTACAATCTTGTTTTCCAAAACCGATGAACTGTTCTCTTTCTCAGCAGTTCATACTGCTGCCCCATCACCGGGAGAAGCCCATTCTACAGGCATTATTTTTCCTGCTGTAGGAGGGAGCTTACATGAATCCAAACCACCAGTGTTGAGCCTTCACAGTGAGGGTGACAGAGCCCTGGAACAGGCTGCCCAGGGAGGTTGTCAAGTCCCCTTCTCTGGAGATTTTCAAGACCCGCCTGGATGCAGTCCTGAGTAACGTGCTCTGACAAGCTCTAGGCAATCCTGCTTCAGAAGGGGAGTTGGACTAGATGATCTCTATGGTCCCTTCCAACTCTAAAAATTCAGTGAAATTCAGTGTGTCACTGCCGCCACCGAAGCCTGAGCTTTGTGCTCATGTCACAGGCCACTTATCTAGGCCCAGTGCAATGGAGTTCTGCCACTGTGTTTTTACTTTTTAGGAGGGAGGGATGTAATTAACTCAAAGATGAAATAGCCTCTGTAAACTTTAGATGTGCCATGTCAGCCATTTAACTGTTACGAGCACTGTGTTGCTGACATGAATTCCACTACAGCAGGAAAAGATTCCAGAGGTTCTACCAGGAAGCTGTAGCAGCATCACCACGTAACCTGCCGTGCTCACAGAGGTGCCACAAGTTTCTCTCCCACTCTCCATCACACAGAGAGTTGCAGACCTGCCTTGATCCCTTGATCCTCAGTCTCTCTTGCTTTCTCCAAACTTTAGGCAAATCTTCACCCCTGTCATGCTGACTGTCCAGGCTTTCATCAGCCCAAAGACAGCACGTCTCTCTTGAGACCTTGCCTCAACAGGAAGGGCTGGTGGATAAAAACAGGCTGAGATTCTTATCTGAGCTGTTACAGCTGCTGCCTGTCTGTGGTAGTGCTGGGGTTCACACTCCCTTCATTAATCAACTGAAACTCTAAGGGGAAAAAAAAACCAAAAATTACATTCAAGATCACTCCCTCTATATGCTGCCTTTGTTCCTACTGTATTTGTGTGATGTCTGTTGGGATGTTTGTTGGGGACGCTTGTGCCACAGACAAATGTCCTGTATTACCTTCTTTTCACTCTTTCTCCTCACCATGGAGGACAGCAGACTTGTCTTCTCTGAGAAGTCATCTCACTATGCCCCGTATTATTTATACAAGGCTGAGAACATTCATGGTCTTTCAAACAAAATTCACTGTTTACTTCATTCTTTTGTCTAAACAATTTCTCTAATTTGCATCACACTCCCTCTGTATATTACTGTTTAAAAGTCACAGGAATAAGAAAAAAAGAAGATTCATGCAATTCATACAAAGCATTTATATTAACTATGCTTTTTCTTCCTCAGTTCTTTATTTTAATCCCATTAAATTTCAGTAGGAATGTAACTGAGCTCTTACCATATACAAAATCATCAATGCATGCTCAAACTGCCATGCACGTTTACTGCACAATTAAACAACACAAATGTTTTATGAATCAACTTCATATGAAGCATCATAAAGTGATGGCCTTTTTCTCCCCCACACTCACTTGTTGTGAGTAAAAATGACTGTTGGAGTGGACAGAGTCCTGCAAAAACAACATGACAAAGAAACCATTGCGCACTGCTCTTGGACTCTAAGGACATGTTAAAAAAGTCTTGAATTGGCATTAAAAAATACAATTAAGAATATAAAAAAAAATTAATCGCACATCCTGTCCTTTTGTTGCTGGAGCACACACACCTGTATCATTCTTGTAATAATTTCCTGAAGGTTTCTACTGACGGAAGGTCACAGCCTCTCCAAGCGGTGCATTGCAGTGCCTACTGCTTGCAGGCTTCTCTTAGTAACAAAGCTGAAACATAAGGTCATTACTTCTTCTGCTCACCACTGCTCTATGAACAAATCACTTCCACCCGCTCTGCAGCAGTGTTTTATGAGTCCCATCACCCCCACCCTGCCTTGCTCTGTCACTCAGCTTTAAATTGAACTGCGCTCTTTGGGTCAGCCTGCTGGCCTTTGCGAGGTTTGGCCATTCATGGGCCATTCCTCGGGTCCCCATGGCCAGCAGGTGTGATCCAGAAAAGCCACAGGCTATCGAGTGACTCTTGGAGCATGTCTACTCCTATTTAATCCATTCTGGGAAAAGAGAGGAGGAGTGCAGGACTCTTCCCCAGTAAAAGGTAGCATTAGTGAATCAGGCTTGATTGATAGAGCCTTTCAAGGCCCTGGGACACAAATCTCCTGCAGTCCTTAGTGGATGCTCAAGGTTTCAAGGATGCTTCTGAACAAGAGAGTGTTTGGTACTGTCAGTACCAGCTTGGTTAAGTGACTGAATGCAGAATTTAGTTCCTGCCTCCTTTGGAGCTCACCCAGGGGAAGGAGCCAAGCTGTTTCCCAAAAGGACACGGAGATGTTTTCTGTTAGCCCATCAACAGGTTAATGTAGTAGCAAGTCATGGGGTTCCCTTAAAAAAAAAATAAAATTCTAATACACTGAAATACTTTAAATTAGATTTTCTTCACTTACACCTGTCAAGACCTTCCAGCTGATGAAGGCCTGATACCTTGGCATACCACTGTCACCTGCTAAATATTTTCCAAGTAGCTACACCCCAGATTTTATCCATTTTAAGACACAGAACTATGCTTACGGGGGTCATGGAGGTCATCTTACAACTTCCTGAAGTAGCAGCTCCCTTTTTCTGGCACGGTATATCAAAAGACTTAAAACGTCACAGTAAATTCCACAGGCACCTAGTAGCTACTCCTAAGCTGTAAAACCAGCCTCAGTGGCTGGTTAACTTGTTTGCTTTTATCCTGTGAGCAAACCCTCCTCCCCGCCAGGGTTCCAGAGGCGATTACATGTTTGGACCTACCAAGAGTCCCTGGCGTGGTTGGTTGGCTCAGCTATGGGGCTGACCGCTGCTGCGCTCTGTGAGGCCTTAATTCCTCCTGCATTTTATTTTTAGGTGTGTTATGTCCTTGTCACAGCTTCATTACTTTATTCAATTTGGCCAAAGTGTCTCAATTCCCTTAAAAACCTTTGAACCTATAGCAGAGTTCGCTACCTGCCCATCCTGCCCATCCAGATGGTAAGTCTTGTAGCTAGGTGTCCCAGACTGAGTCAGGCACGCGGCAGCAGAGATCTGCTCTCATCTTTTTCACTAGTGTTCTCAGGAAAGTTCCAAAATGTTGCTTTAATTCCTGTGCAAAAGATCTGTCTCCTACCCTAGCTGATGACAAGAATCCTCTGGCTTGAGGGAAGTTTTGCTGCCTGGTATAGGATTCCTTTGTTTTAGCAGAAAAAAAAAATCAGCTCAGTTTCTTCTGAAAGCAGCCTGCCAATCCTGACACATTACTGTATTTTGACTTGAGGAGTTAAACATGCCTTATGGGAATTTTCTATTTCTGCAATGCAGTCATCATCGATAAAGAGTATATAGGCTCCTGTTTTCTGAAAGTACTTGCGCTGCTCTCTGTTTTAGCCAGCTTTGATTCAAAATACTTCCTCGTGGCATGCTTCAGTAACGCCTGCTTAGAACATCCCCGGTGCTTCCTCACTGCCTCTTCTCTTGGCTTCTTTGGCTGGCCGACTCCTTTGCTGAGGCCAAGGGATGGTCATGCACAACAAAGAGCATCCCACACCTACAGATATCTCTTACGTGGGTTTTTTTCTGTTTGGGTTGCTGATGTGCCTGCCCAGTGAGCAGGACACTGGATGTTTGTGTATCTTGTTCCATAATCAGTTTAGAACTTTCTTGCATTTATTGTAAACACGTGCTTGGCTTCCCCAAGTCATGCAAGAGAAAAGAACACAGAGAGAAAAAAGGAAAAATACGAGAAATATAGGATAAAAGAAGTTTTAACTTGTAGGTTCAAATGGTAACGATAACCATCCTAAACAAAGCTTTCATAATTTCTTTTTCTTTCAAAGAGCTAGGGGAAAGGTGCTTATATCAAACAAGCACATTGCTCACTTCAGATCTGCAGAATGACATTTCCCCTCCGTTTTCTCCCCCTGCAACCAAATCTCCAAATGTGTGGCATGGTTTGGAGCAAAAGGCCCCAGCTGGTTGCGACGGGGCTACGGTGCGAACCAGCAGCTTCAGAGCAAAGGGCAACCAGCCCTGCGGGATGGCTTGTGGGGCAGAGAGCCAGCGCGGCTGCGCGTGGGGCCGCTGCCACGCAGCCCCGCAGGGCACAGCCGCGGGGACTCGCTGCAGGGGGCTCACACCAGGCACGACTTCAGCCGCCCAACTAAACATCACTGTCCCGGCTCCTCCTCCTCACTAAGGGAAAGTCAAAGATTTGAGAGCTGTGCCTTCCACGGGCGGAATTCCAGTTCCCATCGCTGAGGATTCCTCCTGAGAAACAACACAGCTGAAGTCATAAAAATAACAGCGTATTCAGATGCAGAGAAAGTAGATTTAATTTTTACATTTCCATCCACAGCCCAGGGCTGCGATGTCCCTCTGGCAGGGAACTACCAGATCATTTTGCTTCCCATTTCTTTCATTTGGAGAAAATTCCTGCCACTGTTTAACAAAATACAATCCAGACTCAGAGAATTCCAAAAGCCTTGTTGCCTCTCTGAAAATCTTAAGCTTGCAAATATCTGCATGACCATATTTAACTCAAAAGGGGGAAGTCCACACACGCAGATTAAACATACCTTGTCAGTGTAGCTTTTCCTCTCCCCTTAGCACCTGGATGAAGGTAATGTTTGTGAAGGTCCTGGGCTCTGCCTCCTTCTCGATCTACTGGGAAAAAAATTCTTCCTCTTCAAGAATTGCCACAGTCATAGAAATGCAAGTTGTCTTCCAAGAAAACTTCTAGGCTGCTATTCTCAATCTAGTGGAAGCAAGAGCTGCTGACATACTGCTGGATGAGAGCAGATGAGAATCCCCAGAGCAGGGACAGACTAAAACTACTTTCGAAGTTAAAAGCAAAGAAAGAAAAACCCCGCGACTCAGCTCAAAACTTGGTTACACAAACACCACAAGTGACAGAACTGATGGCAGGAAGAAACAGGGAGTGTCGTCAATCACTGCCAATGACATTAGTGACACCAAACCCCTGGAGTTGTGAAGATAGAAGACTGAAAGGACGCGGGGTTTGCAGGCTGCCAGAACTTGGGCTGTGTTCTTGGAAAACACTCCTAATGCTGACCTAGAGAAGCCTACAGCAACCAGAGAAGAGTTTTGGGGCAAGCCAGGCGTGCTCAATATTAGCATGATGTGAATTCCTAAGGAGAGCAAGATCCTTTCTAACAAACCTCTTGTCGCTGCCGGCAGCTCAGGTGGCCTGTCCTTTGCTGTGCAAACCACTCTCCCTGCCGCCTCCATGGAAGGGAATCTTCTTGACAGCTCTTCTGTTTCCCCCCAACCCCGAAGCTCAAACATCTTCGCTGTCCCGTGCCTGTATCTGAAAGTGACACAAACTGCCAGACGTACTTTTGCGGCTGAGCTTTGCTCGTGCAAGACCCGGCGTCGGGGGAGGAAGTGGGTGTAAATGACGCTCGTGTGTCTTTGGTCCGAGGGTGAGCCGCCAGCAGCGCGGCGGCAGCACCGGCAGCTACAGGTCCCTGAGAGATTGTGGCGAGCAAGCTACGAGACCCCCTTACGGTGTGAAAAACCCACTTCTGCCTACAGTATCTAGAGGTATTGCAAGTATCGTGAAGCTGCCCCTCCTTTCTGGCTACGCTGCACAGCCAGAGGAGCGGGCGTGAGCTGAACTGACTCCAGGATCTAACACAACACAACTCTGCTCATTGATCCCAAACGTTTAGCATAACGGGGAAAATTAATCCTATTTGTTTCTGAAGTAAGTGGAGTAAAACAAGGAACTAATGCTACTAAGCAAAAAATAGAGATTTTAAAAAAATTTCTGTTGCTCCGTGATATGTTCTCTGCTTAGCACCATTCAGAGGTAGTGCACATATGCAGCATTACGAAGAAAATGTAAACAAGACAATCTGAACATTGCTTTGCAGAGTCACGTTCATTTCCTGAAAATAATCAGTGTATAGCTGTGCACTTAACTAGCATGTCCAGTTACTGAGACTGAACTGCGTTTGTTGGATGGGCTTTCTTGACGGTCCTTTTTTTTAAATTGTCTTTTGACATCCAGACCTAATCCCCAATCAGATTTATCTTTGGCCTCAAGATCCATGACTTCTGCAATCAACCAAATTAAGCGCTTTTACTGACATCCACCGTTCTGCAGAGAATTAGGGTCTGCAGCAGTTTTCCATTCCTCTCTCTCCATGTGGTATTTCCAAAAAAGATTTTGACTTTGATTTTCGAATGCGGTGTTCACAGACTGCTGTTCAGTAGCCACTTCAGTACAGAATATAAAAGATTTAGAACAAATTGAGGTTTAGCCTGTTGTTGAAGGTAAACTTGGTGTTAATCCCTAACTGGTAGAAAAATGAGCAGAAATTGGAAAATTTTTACAATTGACAACTGAAAAGACACATCCCAAAATATTAATCTTTAATTGACGCATTGTTCATTCTTGCAGGGTTTTCTTTAAAGGAATTATCCTGGGACTGCCACCAATAGCATTAAACGATACTTATTTGTGTTACATCTGGATTAGCCCTTTATTTATTTATATTTTACCTGAAAATGTATTTTCTTAGAGACCTTATAACAGCATTTCTGCATTATCAGTTCATATGTTGTTTTCCTCTTTCCTGGATATGTTAGCCAGGAAAAGGAATTCCTAGTCTGTAACAGACAGATTAATTCACATGTTTTACTTCATCCACATAGAAAAATGCAGTTTCTGGATCATTGAGGCATATGGATTATGAACAAGACACTCCAAAAACTAACTATCCAGACGGGGATATACTTACAAAAATCTTTTATGTCAAAGTTAGGATTTCACAACATAACACGCTAATGCAAAATCCAGTAGCACCTGATAGATTAAGGTAGCTGCTGCTATCACTTGCACATACTTGAAAAAGATTTAAGAAAAAAAACGAGTAAAAGTACATTCTCCAGAGAACAGCAAGTGTACTTCAAAATAAAAACCTGTATTTTTTATTTATTTTTTTTCTTTTTTTTTTTTATGTCGGTGTTGGGTATTTCTGTTAGATTTTTTGGTAAGTCTTTTTTTTTTCTTTACAAGACTGTAGTTGCCATATAACAAGTTATATGCGATGTGATTGCTCTCCCCTCCAGTACAAGTTCATGGTCATATATTCAGGCTACAGTACTCAAAACACTGTTTTCTCATATCCATATTCCCATAGTTTCATCAAAGAGAGATACAATGTATAACACCTGTCTCTGGGAAAGTAATGTTTAAAACAGGCAAACTTATCTTAAAACAGAAGTGGAGAGGCTACAGTAGGTATAGTCACCTAAGTATGAACTTTAGGTCACAATTTCTAAACACTCACCTACTATATGTAAACATTAAAAATAGTCTTAGCAATAGGATTTTATTTATATGTGCACGTATGTCCACCTTATCCCATATTTATGTTTGGCAACTATTTGGGAATTCAAAGGTGCAGCCCTCAGTAATTGTATTATTTAAAAAAAAAGAAATGAAGCTTATCTACTCTATGAGAAAAGAAATTCTCAAATATCAATTTCCAATTTTAAATTTAATTTCAATAGGAAAATATTAAAAATGTGCACATCTAAATTGTTCCATGTTCTGTATATACATATGTGTGTGTACGTATACATAGAAATACTCATGTACCACACATATTCACAAAATTTAAGTGGAAATATTTCTGTCCACTATTTCCCCACATGTAAATGACATCATATCTTTAAAAATGTCAATAATAATATCATTAAAAATAATATTACATTTATTCCATCAACAACTTTCTGTGGTTTTGTTCTTTCTTCATCTTTATTAAGTCCACTGAGCATTAAGAGGCCAGGTTCTCCTTGCACTTCCACAGATGCCAACTGAATGATGCTGACATCACATCAAGGACACATGTGGTTTACAGCAGCACAAGTGACAGGAGAATCAGGCCCAAACATCCCCAAGAAAATTAAAAACTAGTTATATTTGCTCATATGGACCTGATGAAGATATACACACCACCATCTAAAATCCACTGAACGAAAAACATGTAGATCACCACAAAGTTTTCAACCAGTAGCACGCTGAACCAAGCTCCCCCCATCCCCTCAATAAATAAAATAGGTGAGAAAATACCCTAAAAATATGGAGGAAACTTAAACATTGTGTACATTACATACAGTATAATACATGATGGTTTAGCATTTGACCTAAACCATTTTCCTGACTAGTCAGGGGAGACCTGATAAATCACTGGTAAAGAAAAAACCCGGTATTTTAGAAATAAAGCATGTATTTCTAATATAAATGAGAACCTGTGTGTATTATATGGTATATACACACAGTACACACATGAAAACAAACTTATCTTTTCTAGTTTTGAATAGCAGTCTCTAAGTGGAGAAAATTGTGTTGTACAAATTTAATAAGCAGCTAGATTTCATGTTTAACATTCAAATTAATTTGGGGAGCAAACAAAGGTCCGTGCATCTTTGACTCCAAAGTCTGACACTCATTCATACATTTTAAAAAAGCCCTCTTCAACATTACAAGCAATTTATGGCAAGAATGTACTTTGATGCAAGACACATGACACTTGGCTTACCTTTCAAAGAGGTGTTGGTTTTTTTTTAAATAAATCTATTATATAAAGAAATGTGTGTTTGCCAAAAGTCTGTTAAAATTACATCAAAACAACTTTAAAACCTGCTCACTGAGGATAATTGAATTCAATTTCCTGTTTTTAAATATTTAGTTAACAGTTCAGAATATTGCCTGGTGTAGTTTCAATAAAGATGTGATATGAAGACCCATAAAAGAGTAAACGTCTCCATTTCAATTTGCTATGACAACAAAACTTCTAGAAACAGCTTTCTTGGCTGGACAAGTTCAGTGTACGAGTAATCTCTTGCAATAGCTCTAGGCCCTTAATGCAATCTGTAATAAAACAATGCTCCCCATAAGTCATTATTCACAAAACCTGAAATGCATGTGACATTCTGAAAAAGTCTCCTGCAGAACAGGTTAACAGTTAATTGAACATACATATTCGATATATGTATCAAGGCCAGAAAACAAATGACTGGCTACTCCTTGTTATCTGTGCATGTCAAATTTTACATTTAAAATTCTCAGAGGGTTTTTTCCCTTTTTTTTTTTTTTCCTGGGGGACTCACCTTCCATCATTGGTTGGCTTCAAAATATAGTTAAGTGGAAGATAGTATCTCACTGTAATTACATGGAATTCATATGAAAAAGTAAACCTTACATTGGACAATATTGTAGAACACCAGAGTAAGCTCCATAAAGAAATACGGTATCTTCCATTAGATATATATATATAAAAAACAAAAAAACAACCAGCCAACCAACCAAAAAAAACCCCAAAAGGAAGAACTTTATACAAGCAGTTATAGTAGCTTTGTTTCAATTAAAGATGCAACTCTCTCTCACTCCTGGCAAGAATAAATTGGTAATGGCACTGCTTCTCCACAGTGCAAAGTATCCTGAGAAATTATTAAGAACAACAAAATACAGGGCCGTCATCACTAAATTCTTGCACAAAACAGAGCAATTAAATATCTTAAATAAATAAAACAGCAGATAACCTATGTTGTGTCTATCACAAAAGGGGGATGTGACCTGGGACACTGCTAATTCCTCCATCACTGATAATTAGAAAAGGATTGCATTCAATTACTGTTAATATCTTTCAAGTTATCTATGGCCAATAATGTACAAGGAGGTAATTTGTAATTCAAGTTTTTTTGTTTGTTTTTTTTTCTTCAACTAGCTACAAGCTGAGTTCTGAATTGAAATACGACTTAAATTTAAAACAAGCCCTCTCAGAGGAGCATTTTCTAATTTTTTTGTGCAACTTTGATGCAGAGCCCAACACAGTCCTATGAAGAGAGACAGTGCATCTTTAAGCTGATTGGCACTGAAATCCCATTCTCTTTAGCTGCATTCTATTAGCTTGGCCAAGTTATCTCGTAACTCTGTTAGTTCAAATATTTTTCCATCAAGAATTTCTAAAAGTGTCTTCAAGTTATTGCGAAAAGCTTCTTGCTCATTCTGACTTTTCTCCAGACGTTGCTCTAGATCAGACAGCTGGCCTTCCAGGTCTTTGTTTCGAATTTCTACTTCCTTCAGAGAAAATACATAACATGTTAATGCGTTGCCTGAAAAGAGAAAGCAGTCTAACCTCCTGCTGGTATTCGTGTTCTGTTTCTGTCAAATGGTTTTCGAACAAACTTGTGACCCTTTACAGTTTCCACTAAGCCAAAAAACAGCACCCAGATTGCTATTATGATCGTGTGTGTAACTACCGCTGCCTCCATTTTTCAACAATTCATCTGAGGGACAGAAACTTTGAGAGAGGGATAAAATTGAGTCGGTGAACAGCGGATGAGACACACCCAGGTTAGTTATTGCTTCTATCATTCAGAAATGTGCCACCTACTGAAAACAGCTTCTCAAAGGTTTACCTAAGTTCAAGTGTTCCCTGATTTAGACTACATGAATTGCTCAAGGACACAGTCCCCATTAAACGGTCTCATACAGAAACTCATCCAGAACATGGCTTTATGGATGGTGGAGTGGATAGCCCCACTCCTGTACCGCGTAACAGGCCTTCTCACCCTGAAAATTAAGACAGAGACATAAGCCAGCAAGACCGACGTAAAGGTGACATTGACTGTTGCAAATTTAAACCATCTAGTGCAAGCTGGATGCCTTGTCTCGCTGCTTGGTGCCCCAGAGCACCCACCTGCAAGCCCTGCAGTAGCCCAGCCGTGGGAGCAGCCAGCGTGCCGTAGGGACAACCTGTTCCCCCACGGCGGGTGGAAAGATGAAGCGGCAACACGTTACCCAGAGCCGGGGGGATCTGACCCTGAGCAAGGTCAGCTCTGGTTCAGGAGGAGGAGCAGCCCCTCTGCTTCGTGCAAGGCAGGTGACCCGCTCTGCTGTCAGACGACTCACGTAGCATGGGGAACAGCAAACGGACACTTGGTGCACCCATTGCACGTCTCACCAATTCACGCTACGCTTTGCCATTTCAATTATGTAGAACATTTTCCGAGGCAGCACCGGGGCCGTGTGTTTGGTACATCCTGCACCTGTGCAGCCATCTTCTGGGGAACTGCACACTGAATTCGTATTTACATACACTTAACATTTCTTCAACACCTCATCCCTTTAGCTTTGTGTCACAAAGCTTTAATGGGCCCGCTCCGAGTTTGTACAGCAAGGAGTTTCTCCCAGCCACAGGGAGGGCCATTTGGCAGCATCCCTGTGCCCCTGGAATGCAGAGGGATGGGGTGACGTGGCCAGTGCTCAGCGCTGGTTCCCAGCCTCCTGCCTCCCAGGGCCCTGGCAGTAGTGCAGGTGGAGAAGGCACAGCCTCAGGAACCTCATCTCCTCACACCTGTGGCTGCTTGTGCAGCCAAGGGCGATGTCCAGGCTGAACTGGACTAACTCCCTTGCTTCTTGTTTGTGAACGGGCAAGTTAAAAGAGTTTTGGGCACTGGTCTTGAACAGCACAGCCGAAAGCAGGCACTACCCTTTGCTGCCAGGACCAAGAGAAGAATTAGTTTAATCTGTTTAATGCTGGACAATATAGCTGCCAAAGCAGTAAAGGAAGCTAACTGGAAAGAGTATTTGTAGAAAGAACATAAATTAAAATAAATACATGCTTATGTAGCGATTGGCTACCCCACTGCTGCTAGAAACGAACAAGCTAACTGGGATTATCATAGAATCATAGAATGGTTAGAGTTGGAAAGGACCTTAAAGATCAACAAGTCTATGGGCCCAGATGGGATCCCCCCTAGGGTACTGAGGGAGCTGGTGGAAGTGCTTGCGGAGCCACTCTCCATCATTTACCAGCACTCCTGGCAAGCTGGGGAGGTCTCACCCGACTGGTGTCTAGCAAATGTGATGCCCATCCACAAGAAGGGCCGGAAGGATGATCCAGGGAATTACAGGCCTGTCACTCTGACCTCAGTGCCTAGGAAGGTCATGGAACAGATCATCCTGAGTGTCATTATGCAGCGCATGAAGGACACCCAGGTGATCAGGCCCAACCAACATGGGTTCATGAGGGGCAGGTCCTGCTTGACAAACCTGATCTCCTTCTATGACAAAGTGACCCGCTTGCTGGATGAAGGAAAGGCTGTGGATGTTGTTTATGTGGACTTCTTTAGCAAGGCCTTTGATACAGTCTCCCACAGTATCCTCCTGGAGAAACTGGCTGCTCATGGCTTAGATGGGAATACTCTCCACTGGGTTAAAAACTGGCTGGAGGGCCGGGCCCAGAGAGTGGTGGTGAATGGAGTCAAATCCAGTTGGCGGCCGGTCACGAGTGGTGTCCCACAGGGCTCGGTACTGGGACCCATTCCTCTTTTAACATCTTTATCAATGATCTGGTGCACCCTCAGTGAGTTCGCTGACGACACCAAGCTGGGTGGCAGTGTCGACCTGCTGGAGGGTAGAGAGGCTCTGCAGAGAGATCTGGACAGGCTGGATCGATGGGCTGAGACCAACAGGATGAGTTTCAATAAGGCCAAGTGCCAGGTCCTGCACTTGGGTCACAGCAACCCCCTGCAGCGCTACAGGGTTGGGGAAGAATTGCTGGAGAGCTGCCTGGCAGAAAAGGACCTGGGGGTGTTGGTCGACTGTTGGCCGAACATGAGCCAGCAATGTGCCCAGGTGGCCAAGAAGGCCAATGGTATCCTGGCCTGTATCAGGAACAGTGTGGTGAGTAGGACCCGAGAGGTGATCATCCCCCTGTACTCGGCACTGGTGAGGCCTCACCTCAACTATTGTGTCCATGTTTGGGCCCTTTACCACAAAAAAGACATTGAGGTGCTGGAGCGGGTCCAGAGAAGGGCAATGAAGCTGGTGAGGGATCTGGAGAGTAAGTCTTGTGAGGAGAGGCTGAGGGAGCTGGGGTTGTTCAGCCTGAGGGGAGACCTTATGGCGCTCTATAACTACCTGAAGGGGGGGTGTAGAGAGGAGGGGGTCGGTCTCGTCTCCCAAGTCACAGGAGATAGGATGAGAGGAAATGGCCTCAAGTTGCGCCAGGGGAGGTTTAGATTGGATATTAGGAAAAATTTCTTCACGGAAAGGGTTATCTAGCATTGGAACAGGTTGCCCAGGGAAGTGGTTGAGGCACCATCCCTGGAGGTGTTCAAAATATAGGTTGACATGGTCCTCAGGAATATGGTTTAGTGGTATGTTTTTGTGTTTTGTTTTGTGTTGTGTTTTTTTTTTTTCTTCTTTTTGGGGGGTCAGAGTTAGGTTGATGATTGGATTAGATGATCTTTAAGGTCCCTTCCAAGCTAGACGATTCTATGATTCTATCATCTAGTTCCAACCCCCCTGCCATGGGCAGGGACACCTCTACTAGAGCAGGTTGCTCAAAGCCCCATCCAGCCTAATCTTAAACAATTCCAGGGACAGGGCATCCACAACTTCCCTGAGCAACCTGCTCTCCTTTATGGAGCCCACTCCTGCCTTCCAAACCAAGTACTGACAAGTTAGGGTGGGAGCACCCAGGTAAAACTGAAAGCTTTATGTTAGATGTAGGAACTCCCATCTATATTCAGCAAAAGGCTAACTCTCTGTTGATAGTCCTTGCCCTGTATGTCTTCAAATCAGAAGAGCTCCCTTCTTTTGTTTAAATTTCCAGCTTCCATATTTTATTTATATTCGACTCTTAACATCTCTTTCCTAATCCATGTACATTTAGCTTCCTAAACATTTCCTCAGATATACTTTCTCCCACACTTGCTCCTGTTTTATTTTCCCTACCTTATGCTTAAAATATTTAATGATGTATAGGAAGTAAAACTAACTGAAATATGCCAGGAGCTGTTGCTTTTAATTTCTGGAAAATGCTTCTTCCCAAATTTTACATTTCATCCTTATACGTATTTACCCTAGATTAGTAATAATGATTTCTGCAATAGTACTGCATTACAAGTTTGTGTCCCAGTCATGTGCAGCTTCCTATTACAAATCAGTCTACCTCGAAACTGTTGCTTCTTGATGAGAAGAAGTGGAGAGGTGCTCACATAATGTAATCTGTTCCCTATTTGCAGTTAATCTCATCTAATAATGAACTGATATTCAGGCCCCTTGCAAGATGTGTTTTATACTGTTCTTTCAAGCTCTTCTTACAGCAGACATAATCATTTCTCATACGCTGTTTTCTTTTCAAAAAGAAATAAATTATTAAGAAGTTATGTTTGTTATTTGCACTGTAATAATATTTTGTGGAATTCAGTGCAAGGATCCGAATGAAATATGCAAACCGTACACAACAGCTATATTTAGGAATCAGCCATAGTAATAAAAATGTCCTCACTTATTGTGAGAGTCACACTGATCATGACTCACTGATATGTCTTCTTTACATTGCTAATGAAATTATTAACTAACAAGGGCCCTGATGATGCTTAGCCTTCACAGTGACAACATATTTCTCTTCACTGGAATTTGCCAATGATGGATTTCTTATTCATTCCCTGACATGAGTGTGTCAGAAACGCAACACACTTTGAAATAGTAATTTCTCTGTGTAGCACTTTTCATACAGGCTATATTCAAAAATACTTTAGAGTTACATAATCCATTTGCAAGCACAAGAGGGAAAAAATAAAGCAGAAGAAAAAAGAGCGAGACGAACAGATACGGGCCCTGGAGACAATCACCCTGAAAACAGATGATGAGTCAACTAAGTGAACAGATGTGAGATGGTTAGTCTGGAGCTACAGAAGAAAACACCGTTTCAACTGATGTCACAGATGCAGGGTGAAGTGGCTCAGAGAAGGCCAGTATAGTCAAAGCAGGATGATTATAGCAAAGCAAAGACTCAAGATCTTTTAGATAGGCTGCATCAGGTCATTAATAAGCTTTAAGCTTAAGAAAGGCCCCTTTTAACTCAGATCCTAAGTGAGCTTTAAATTTACTTGAATAGAACCATGTAGAACTATTTTCAGAAACTGATCGCCTACAACATGACATATGGACATATATATGCAATACATCCCTTTGGTAACTAAAGATATAAATAGATCAAAATGAAGCTACTGACTTCATAGAAATTTTCATAACAACTTAGTATTTTCTAATCTCTCATCTCTTACTGGTTTCTCATATTCTGCTTGCTCAGGATAGCTAATTCCTGGCTCATTATTACTTTTCATATGATCTGACACTGAAATCACGGCATATGCTATTGCCAGAACAATTTCCAACTTTCATTATAATTTCCCTTTTCAGTCTGTCAGAAAAGCTCCTTTTCAGCTGAAAACTCCCCATTTTTAGCCTAAAGCCAGCAACAATTTTTGGAATAGTGGAATAGGAAAGCTCAGGTGTATTCAAAACAATCTTTAAAGATCGTTAAAAGTAGTAACATGCTTTTTCCAAATAATTTGACTTAAGAATGGGGAAAAATGTTCTTACAATGTGGTTTACAATGTAGATTAAAATGAGATTCAAGGAAGGTATAATTTATGTAATGCATTTCAAAGAATATCTTCTTAATGATTTTTAAGCTGTGGCCTGTCTGATGGGCCGTGCTACCAGCTTGATTTAGGCTGAGCCACAGAACAGGGAGGCCCACGTTCCAGCACTTCTGAGTTGGAGCTATTTAACGCCTGAGTTTCCAGTCCCAGCAAAGCTCTAAAGTCTGAACTCAGCGTTTAACCCACCAAGGCTTGGGTCAGCCTCATTCAGAAGGCAGGCTTCACAGGGGAGGCGTGTATGTGCTGGCTGGTCAGCCCAGCGAGGGAAAGACAGGAGCTCAGATGTAGCAAGGGAGGGTATACTGACTGAGGGCACACTGATTCCAGTAGGCTGAGATATCTGGCTTTACACATAGTAAAGAAACAACCCAGAAAAAAAAATCAATAAAACCACAACGATTGTAAATAATTCCAAGAAAACGTCAAAGTCTGTACTACACAAGAACACTTTGCTTTTTCAGGGCACATTTAAAAGCTGAATACAAACTCATCCCAACCTGATGATACACAGCGTGGCAGTTTCTGTGACACATGAGATCTATGGGAAGATGCTGTAGTGAAAATGAGACCAGAGCTGTCCATGTATCAATGATGGACATCTTCTAGCTTGAGAGTACTCTGTAGACTTGTAAATGAAATTTAGGTCTGTTCCCTTGGGTAAAAATAGCAGCTTGGAGCAGGTGGAAATTTTGATACAAATTCCTAGGGATCATCCCAACCCACCACTTTGCAATGCAGTCTAACTTATGTATTTATCCGGCAGCATCAGTGAATACAGCACAAGTTGCTGATGTGAACTGCTGACTTGATGACCGTTTTTCCCTTCTCTCTAAATGAAGATGATGCACTATAGCTCACCTGTAACTTCTGGGTCAAAGAATCCCTCTGTGCCTGGAGCTCTCTGGCATTTTCGATTTCTTGTTTCAATCCTTCTATTTCCTAAGGGAGAAGAAACAGCCTTGCTAGCAACACATTACCTGGCTTGGCCTCCGTGCAGGTCAGCTGGCTACTGCTTCTTCTCCTGAGCAAGCCATTGCAATGATACCAAAACTGGCAATTGGCTACTGCCCATCACAGCACATGAAATTTAAGCCCTGTTCTCAATACTCCTGAATCACAGTTCCAAACCAGCAATTCTATTGCAAATAAACAACAATAGAGATAAGCATTTTCTTTTATAAAAGTCCACGTTTTCCTCTCCCACACAAAAGATATGACATAATTTTTTTCCTGGAAAACTAAAGCTCCTTGTAATTAGAGAAACAATTTTATACTTTATACTATTAGAATCTTTCTCCATTTTTCAAGAGAAAAATCCAATTTTCATCTCTGAGCTGCGTATTATGTCACTAGCAGCAGGGCTGAGCATCAAAAAATTGCCCACTTTGACCATTGATCTTTCTGTAAGAAGAAAGTAATGAGGTATAAAAATAACAAATCTGGATAAAATAATGAACAGAAGAGAAACCTTTTCTTAACTTATTTCAGGAGACAAGAATAGAAACAGTTAATGAAACTACAAGGTATCAAACTTAAAAATATTAAGTACTTTTACCTGGAAGACCATATTCACCTCCCAGAACTCCTTGTGGAAAGATGTCTCTGCAGCCATCAGCTCAGCATAATTCAAAAGCGCATGTGTACCAAAACGGGAAACATTACCAACCCGAGGCTAATCTCTTAGGTATGAGGGAGTTTGGAAAAGGCTTTGTTATGGTTTGGAGAATATTCTGTAACTACTGTGTCTCTCCTGCATCCTCCTTGGAAACAGCTAACTGCCCCACTGGAGGCATGGAGGGCTTGAGGAATCTGGTCTTATGTGGGGCAAATAATCCTTCATACACAGCTCCTTCCACCTCCTTTTTCCTATCCATAAAGGATGATTCTTGATCATTTTGTGGCACAAATCTGCTTTCCTCCAGGACACATGCCAATGCAGGTGTTACTCCAGTTCCTCTTATTTTCTTGCTGCTGGTCCAGCCAAAGGCAGATGGCATAATAAACATCGTTTCAGGCGGGGGGCTTGGCATGTGTTTAAGGAAAGGGCTGATCTTAGGGACCATAAAAGTCAGCCATATTAACACAGGCTGAAAAACAGATTGGGGTGAAAAAGGCATTGATCTATTGCTTGTTCCAAACCCTACTTTCCAGAAGAAGGAAAGCATGCCTATGACAACTTCCCTTCTCAGGGAGTTCGGACTGTACCAGTGTGACGACTGCTCTGTGGAAACCACTTACAACTGACTTTTGCAAACAGAGATGCTGGGTAAAAGCAAACAGGAAAACGTGATATTTCTTTCTGTTGTTCAGATATCCAGCTCTATATTGAACTGATTTAATTATATACACCGAAAAACATTAATCATTTCACGGAAGCTGAAATAATTTTAGTTTGTAACAGTTATAGGAAATAATATTTATCAGCCATCACAAGCTTAATATTGAAATCCTTTAGAAATGATATAACAGAAAAGCCAAGAATAGATGTTAGCAAATACCTCTTCTTTTTTCTTCAGCGTAGACTCTAACTCCTGTATTGTCTGGTTTAATTCTGTTTTGTGTGTGTGGACTGCATTGGCTTGACTGCTCACACACTCTAGCTCAGTCACCTGTTGAAATAAGTAGAAGCAATACAAACAGAATAAATTTGAACAAATTCAAGGTACTATGACTTCTTTGCATCAGTAGTTGCACTGGAATATACCCTTAGTTCTGGGTGACTTACGCTGATTAAAATGGTGAAGGTGTTCATAAAATTCCTTAACAGATTGTTTAGCATAGAATTGTTGCTATAACTTCTTGGAAACAATAAATGTCACATGTTGCAGGCTGAAAAGAACATTAATTAAAAGTTATACTTATTAATTATTCACAATCTTATGAAAGAAGCTGAACTACCATTTCAGAAACGGTAATGGCTAGATGATTAAACACAGATCTGTCTGGGTAACTAACCTGTCCATCTGACACTTTTTAATATTGTGCCATCTTAATCAACTAAGCCTCAATGCTCACCCACTTCCTAGCAAGCCAATTAACATTTCACAGGCTCAATTTCTGACTCGGCGTTAACAGTGTAATAGCAGACACTCAGCCACCAACGTACAGCTGCCAACTTTTTACTTCCTCTAGTTTCAAATCTCATCTCTCAGTCACAAAGCCAACAGCTAATGGCACAATTTGGATTTGCACAGTTCCTCTTTATTAGCAGACAGCAACCACTCTCCATCTGGATAAGTTAAGATACCTGGCAGTAGTATGCCCTTTTTATTTTATTTTTTAATCAAAGAGATGTTGATATCCTGCCATTCACAAATAAACAACAGTAAAAAATAGTTTCTGCACTGAAGAAATAAAATCCATGTAGCCAGAGTCTATGCAGAAAAGTCTTGCTCATGTACCTCTCATATTACAGACCAAAGTATTTGAGAATTCTCATGCTGCATGTCTGCACAGATGTGCATTAAAACCTTTTGTTTAATAAAAAACTGTTAAAATATTAAAAATAATATTTAAAACCTAATAACTCTTTTTTTTTTTTCCCCAGAAGATACGCACCTGTCAATCTTAGTATACAGCCTTCAACAGAGCTGCACCATCTACCTACAGTAACTAACAGATCTGGCTCAAAAACTCCTTTGAACAAAGAAGTGCTACCCAATTCTGCAGCGAAAACCCTTAGGTCTCCATCTGACTTTGTTGGAGAAGTAGCCCCTCGATAGAGGGCAGGCATTCTCCAGGAAAATGTTATTTCTTAGATAAAAGAACATCTCGAGGAACCAAGGTTGGTGCCCTCCAGCACCAGCGTAGCCTGGGTAGTGAAGCCAGTGTGATGCCAATAAATTCAGACTCTGAACTATTTGTAGGCTCGAAAGGTAAACTACAGAGTGCAGAGAGAAGTCAAAGGAGAAACAAGAAGAAATAAAAGAAAATTAAAACAAAATCCCTGTCAACTTCTCCTTTCTGAGTCAGGGGGGTATGAACTTCCCCTCTGTAACAGCCATGGTGAGCACAGTTCTTCTACTGGAAAACTGTCATTAGACATTTTTGCGCATCAGACTTACAGATGGAGAGAACCGAGATGACAGCAAATTCTTGGGAGAGGTAAGGGGAATGAGAAATGAAGATATAGCTAGGTAACACACTACCCCACACAGCACCCCGAAGAAGTATCTTATTTGCTGGAATTATCCCAAAAGAAATATCAGTGCTCATGGCAAAAAGTAAGAGCAGTTTGCTCAGTTTTTATCTGCTCTGAGCACTACAACTGAAGACGTAGATAATTTTGTAAGTTTGCTTCAAATACACAAAAATATATCTATTTAGATTCCTTGTGACTGCAACAATTGGCACTGTTATGAGTATTAACCACTATAATTACACAAAAACAAACAAGCAGAATTGGGACCCATCAACTAGGATAAACTTAAACCTACACGGTGTCTGAACTAACATCTAGATACAGCAAGAATCACAGAGGCAGAGTAATTTAGGCTGGAAGGTGACCCTGGTGGTCATCTGGTTGAGGCCCCCTGCTGAAAATGAGGCCAATTTTGAGGTCATATTTGGTTGCCCAGGGACTTGCCTGGTCAAGAACCCTTCACTATCTAGCAGAGCTGCCACAGTTTTAGGCAGGTTCCTGTGTTTCTAACATTGAGGGTTTATGTAGAGCACTAGCTCATTCCTAAGTTTTGCCAGAACTATCAAACTCGCCCACCTCACCCACCTTCACTCCATCTGATGTTTAACTTCTTAAAGATTTCCAAGCTCTTCTGCTGAACTGAGTCTTGAATTGGTGGTGGAAGCCTCTATGGACCCAGGCCTACGGCTGTTGGGGAACCCAGGGTCAGATCCCCTCCCACCCGTTGCAAAAGACAGCGACTTTGTATGGTCACCTCCAAGAAGGTCAATCTCTCTCTTAAAGCTGTTGTGCTCAGCAATGCCCCCTGGCTCTTACTAAGCACTGGCACAGTGAGTACTCACACCAAGTGTAAGAGACTCCGCTGGAGAGACAGAAGAAAACCCAGTCCCCAAACCACCTCTGTTCTAGCACCTAGTGCCTTGGAAGTAAATTTTCAGAGGTGTCTCATTCTGCAACTGAGGAAGCCCTTGGACCCGACCTCCACTATTCTCTACATGGTCTCCTCTGGGCTGGTACACACAGCAAGGATGCATGTGTTGGTGCGAGCCTGGAACCCAAGGAAGCTAGTGGACTGAACTGTGGTGGATGAAATGTCACTGCTCTGGGCTACCTGTATTGTCCCTGGCTGAAAACATCTCCTGCAACAGCCCCGCCAGATGCAGGGCTTACCTGAACACTCCCCTGTAACACGATGGTCCATACCAACTCAAGACACCTTTTGAAATTGCTTAAGCAAACACAGCTAATTTTGCTTGAGCAGAGCAGGGAGTGCTCTCACAAACCTTCTTGCCAACATCAGGGCAATTAATCACCAACACTAAAGGGGCTGTGATGTCTTACTCTGGTCCAGCTTTTCTCTGGGCAACCGTCCACCTCTTACTGCTTATGCAAGAAAAGAATGCATTGTTCAACTGTTTTGTTTACTGTTCCCTGAAAAATCAGTAAGTCGGAAAAAAAGAACAAATTAAATTTAAAAAATGGCTTTACTTTAACCGCAGTCTTATTTAAATGCCCATTCCTACAAAGATCTGAAAGGATGACAAATATCTTCATGATGGTATCTTCTTGAATGTACCTATAAAAAAGAAATTCACATTGTGACCCTTTCAAAAAAATCTGTAGAGTAAGATGGGGTGGAAAATGATGTGATATAAAGAATATGCAACTGGAAACAGAAGTAACAAAAGATAAAGCTCTAGGCAAAAATCTGGATAGCATTTACTTGCTCTATTTCCTTGTTTCAAATGGAATTAATTTTTCTCATGACCAGTGGTCCAAAAATCATTAAAAATAACTGTTTATGCATTATGCACAGAAGGCATAAAAGGAAGCTAAAATGCTTTACTCTGACCCTCCCACATGGTATTTTCAGGGACATCTCATTCAGTGTTTCATGTTTAAGAGCAAGGCTCAATCAATCACTGAAGTTTTTGCACATCAACACTGAGCAAGTACCTGTGATTAAGCTTTGCTTCCAGTACAGCATCCAGACTGAAAGAACAGTCTTTGAACAATAACTAATTAAACAAAGTTCTTCTATTGTGCTATTGTAAGAGTGCACTTACTTGCATATATGAAAAAAAGTCAATACTGTCGCTTTGTATTTGAGACTAAAAAAGAAAACAGCAGTGTTTTTAGCCTCTGCTTCTTTATTTTGCATTTAATATCCAGGTAAGGATTGCACGTAGGGAAAAAATTCTGAAAGGGCTTTTTAGTGACTATTTAATGAGCTAACTCTTCTAGTATATGGCTGTCGTTATACTTAACTGCATACTTCAGAGAGAAATACATCAGCTGAAATAAGACAGCAAAGCAGCTTGTTCTGGCAGAGCCTCAACCTTCTCAGCAGAGGCCATCCTAGAGTTTTCTGGAAAATTTGATCTAGGGTCAACAGCCTATAAACAGAGGAGGATGCCAGGCAGAAGTTTCCGCTGTAGCAGACAGCTAGGGAAGACAGTCTGGGCTGCTGGAAAGACTGGGGGAGTGAGGCTTTGGGCCACATAACACAATGACAAAAAACAGCCTTGGTATGAACCCAAACTTTGGAAGACTGCATAATATCTTGAAGAAAACAAACCAGATCAAGCCACAAAGAAATCAAGATAGGAGATTGTCCCAAATCCGAACGCAGACAACTAATTCAGAAGTAAAGACCTCAGCTAAACAGAGGCAAAGAAGTGGGAATGACAGAAATATTTTGAGTGGTCGCTTTCCTCGAGCAACTATTGACCTGTTTGCTGCAGGTCGAGAAATTTTTCAAACCACTTTCTTGACATAAATTTGAACAATTCTCATCCCAAACAACAATAGTTTTTATTCAGTATTAAATTAAATACCAACAGATTATGAAACTCCTTCTAAACTTCATACAGAAATTACCTCAGCTGCTACAGAAATGCAAAGACAGACAGATTAGAATATATATTCACAGTGTAGTTGTAGCCCATTCTATCTACCCGACACTATTAACTTGTTGTTTCCTAAAGGTATTTTCATTCCATCTATTTCTTGTGGAGTGCAATATCCAAGGTCTGATAGCCAGGCTACAGTGCAGAAAAGGCAGAGTGTTCACATGCAAGACTGAATTTAAGGATTAATTATGTATTTTTAGCTGGTTGAGTTACAACCCTAAATGGATCATAACTGTGACTGTGATAATATTATTCCATCAATAATTCAAGATGAGCCTCCTACAAAGAAGAAAGAGCCCTTTGCTTTCCACAAGAAGAGAAATGGTGTTGCATGGCTCAGCAAAACTGGGAATAACTGCATAAAGTTTAATACAATTTCTGTAGGAGAAGCCTCTCAGATCTTCATGGTGGACAGTAAGATTCAAGAGAGCATGCAAACAAGCTGATCATAAAAATAATCCCAGTATAGCTTTCAAGAATAAAAAACACTGGAAAGATTTTTGGTGCTAAGAAACATGAAAATGCAGACAACAAGGAAAATTGCTTTTCAAGGTTG